AGCACTGACAGTAGCTTATCTTTAAGTAGAGTGAAAATCGCAGAAATAAACAGTAGTGACATAAAAGATGTGCTGCCGCCTGTAAACCATGATGGACTGCGGAATTATCCCCAATGTATTCCCAGGTGAGACAGACAGACCTTGGCAGTAGAGAAGTCAATAAAAATAGAATATTGTCATTGCTCTCAATTTCAGCCATAGCCATGTTTTTGGAGTAAATGGATTTTTAAACTTTCAGTGATGATATAACAGCAAACTGGGTACTATTGAGCTCTTCATCAACCCCAGTATTTTTTCTTTTTAAACAAACGATTATAAAACATTTGGATAGCTTTCTGGGAAAAATCATTTATAGGCAATGCTGAATTATTCAGGTACAGCAGGGAGTGACCGACATTGTGAAAGAACAGTAATAGTCAACATAATCGTGCATTTCAAAACCACGCCATTCTGAATCCAGTGCAAATAAACCTGGGAACAAAGGTTGTTCAGTCCATGGTCATTTTAAAGTATTCTGAACACATTTTCTTTAAAACTTAAGATTTATTTAAAAAAACAATAAGTGGTACACATGTGCTCCTCTGTTTCACAGCCCTGCTATATCTAGTTATATCTAGTTATTTCTCAATAAACAAATATAATTATCTTAGAGAATCTAATTTTTAAATTCTTGGCCTGGTTAATCTAAAATTATGAAAATGAGAATCTGCGTTACCTTCATTTCACACCTTTGAACATGTCTAAATGTACCGAGCGTAAAATAGAACTCAATTTGGACAATGTGCACTAGTGATGATATCTGGGAAATGTAAACAGGATTGGATAAAATGAACAAAAGGTCTTTGTTTGTCAGATTTGTATCTTTTACAAGAGATTCCTGTAAATCAAGTCTTCTCCATGCTTGACTATTCAAAGCCAAGTCTTCCCCATTCTTCCTTGATCTGCTCAAGGACAGAAATTGATGTAATTAATGACACACCTTCCGACATTCTTTCTTACTGAACTGAGTTGCGGAGGGTAGCTTGGCAGAGATGGGATGAGTCCTTCATTACTTCAGCAAAGTTGCTGAAGTTCCCCAAAACATTGAAGATTTGAACATTTTAACACCATTTTAATGTTTGTATCACTTCCATTTTAAAGGAGGTTCCTTTCAAAATTACTGTGTATAATATATATATGTTACATTATTTGATATCCAGTGTTAATCTCTTAGACATGCAGCGTTCCCATTTGTTCTAAATTAGTAGTAGAAGTGAAAACGTATTTATTGATTATATGCCATCAACAGAAGTAATGTCGTTTTTTATAAAACTGAATTTCATTTCTGATTTGGTAATCTGAAGTTATTCCATTTGTGGTGCATTTGTCCTAGAAAGGGGGTGCGATTTGACCTCCTGTGAGATTTTTAATCTTTCTGTAATGAAACAAAGTTTAAGCACTTCCATTTTGGTTCTGATTTTTAATTTATTTCCATATGATACCGTGTGAACTGTAGAGTGTTATATTTGAAACAAACTCACAGTGGCAGGATGTAACATTAATTGAATACATGTTGCTGATGTGTGATAAAGTCTCAGCTGCGTTTTGGTGTGGGTTTTTAAGTTGCAAACGCCACTACTGGGAATAGAACATTTTCACAATTTTAGCCCAGTGTTTGCAAAGGCTTTTGAGTGAGATTGCTTGCTGATTGATGTTGCACTGTGAATAGTATTGGGGATGAGACGGCCTAAGCTTCTTCAAAATTGCAATCCTTCCACCAATCTTTACTTTTGTTAGAATGGAATGGATCTAAACCCATTTCCAAACATGAAAGAATAGGGTTTTAACTCTGCACATTCCAATCACCTTGCGAGCTGTAATTACGAATTGGGCTAAAATTGTGAAAATGTTCTTAAATTTAGTCTTTACCCCATTCAGCATTATAGGCGTGCGCGGCACATAAAATGCATGAAAGGTTCCATCTGAGGTGTCTTGAGACTGAAGAGAGATGGCGTATCCAGTATTTCCTTGTAGCTTCATCCCTTAAACCCTAGGGATCCTCCCTCGTGCTCTCTTCTGGGAATTATCAATCCAAATTAATTTTAAAGGTAGCCCAGCATTCCAGTTGCCTTGCTTATTGTTGACTCACACTGTTTGCACATGGAAATGACCCTAATTACTGTTCTTGAAGCGTATTGGTCCTTCAAAAAATTACCAACCTCCTTCTTTACTATTCTTTTTTTCTCTCTGAGCTGCTGTGTTTGCCCTTGTTTTTTCAGTCACTGTCTGACAAATGAACGTCAAAGCCTGACTGATACGTTGAGGCAAGTTGAGCAAAGCTATTCTAGTTAAGTGTCAACAATTTGTGTGGAGCATACTTGCACAAGATCACTTCCAATTGAAAATAAAACATGAACATGCCTGAGGGAGGAGATACTTATAACATCAAAGGCACAACAACGTCGACTGAGTGGGGTAAAGATTTTTTTTCTTGTGAGAAAGCACCATATTCTGCTGCTGAATAAGACTCATCGCTGGTTGCATCTCTTCAAAATTAAGACGGCAAAATAATTTTATTTAGGCAAAATAGGCATTTTTACTTAGCAAAATCATTTGTATAACTGATGTGGAAAATGTCTCTCCGGGACAGCAATGGGAGTTGGGGTTAGAGAATCTCAAAGTTTGAAATAAAGGGCACACATAGTTTTTGGCAGTGGAATACCAATTGGGTTGCCATCGTTGATGCAGCTGTCTATCAAGGTTAATGACATTTTGGGGTTATGTCAATGAATAAGTTTCACAATTGAGAGAATAGGTATATACAACAGTTAGGGATGAAGCTACGAGGAAATACTAGATATGCAAGTTCTCTTCAGTCTCAGCAAATCTCAGATGGAACTTATTATGCTGTGCATAATATTGTAATATTGTAATAATAATACGTGTAATATTGAATGGCCTACTCCTGCGCCTACATGTTATGAATGGGATGAAGACTAAATGTAACCCCAGCAGAATGCTTTCAGGTGTGCCAAGACAGCAAGACAAGATAATAAGTTCAGGCTTGTTTTCACTGGCTCCCTTCACATGATAAATTGATCATTACTGTTGTATAATGCCTTGTCACATTATATAACCAACTTTGTAGGTATGCACAATGATATAGAAAGGAGAGCGATCCAGCATACAATACAACTGTTCCATGGAGGGCAAGTTTGGAACTGATACCTAATGTTTCTTTGTGCAAACAGCAACGACAACAAGAACATTTGAGACTAAGGTGTTGGATTCATTTAATAAATGGATAGATGCTTTACTAGGAAAATGCATGTATTCTAGAAGGATGAGATCAAATGGAACAAAGGGCCTCCTTCATCCCACCTCTTGTAATATGGTCGTGATTGACTGGAAAGATTCCACAATAGTCTTTCTGCAAACCTAATTTTTTTATTAAAATATTTAAAAATATTTTTAAAGGCAGGCACAGTTGGTTCAGAATGAAGAAATAATGTTCTTCTGAATTAGCTGACAGAGTGTATGATGGTCAACTTGAGGATATCCAACTGACCTACAATTTAATTTCCCATGACGATGCAGAGTAATGTTGCTGAGAGCAAAGAGGTTCTCAAATAAATCTTGAAATATACAAGAGTATGTACTTTGTTGTAAAGAAGCTTGTAGATTAGTCCATTCCATTTTAGGATAGACATGAGGGAGCATCCTTCATTAGGCTTTGGAAGTCAATCACTTGGTGCTGGGTGAATATCTTGTAAATGAGCAGATATATTTTATGATCCTTTTACCTAATGTATCCATGGTTTGCAGAAGATAATTTTATTTGAAGAATAAGAAGTGCTATAATTTAATGAGAAGCTACAATATCAATATAATGAATGACTACTAAAGTAATGTTCCAAGAAAATATGTTAGACCATACTTTTCCCTGTAATGCTTCAGTTCACCAAATATTCTGAATCCTGCTTTTTTAAAAAAAACGTGTTCAATGACATTTTGTAATCGAGACTTTACACTAAGTAACAGTGCTTCAGGACAAAAATAAATCAGCATTTTCCCCGGCTACCGAAACATGGCAATTGAAAACACTGATCCTTTAATGTCGTGTGATGTCTTGTCAGATTAGATAGCTGTAAAACTGTGGGTCTAAACAGTGATACAGAAAAGAGCTTCAGTAACCTAAGGACATTGAGGGCAGTTGGTGTACCACAGCTGCGGAAATTAATTCAGACTAGACAGATTTGCACCATTCTAGTTTGCACAGCAGACACAAGTACCGTTAGCCACTAAGCCAATGAGGCAGCTATACACCAAGCTCTTAACAAACCAGGAAAGGCATAATCAACTGTTTCTTATTATTGCAGAATGATGAAACATATTTATTCCAGCATTACTTTGCAATGACATATTGTGAAAAGACGTTATTTTCTTGCAAGCTTTCAAAACTTTGTTCAGTGACAAAAAAATATTGTAGCAGTTGAGACCATTTTTTCAAAAAAAATTCTGTTCTGGACAAATTACCTTATTTCCTGCCATTCATATTACTCCAGACATTTACGAAAATATTTTTCTAACGTTTTCATCAAGAATGGTGAATTTCAAGAGCTTTACTGGCAACAAGTTTATACAAACAAAATATTTCCTGGAAATGGGCGACTCAAACCTAATGAGCAGAAAACAGTTGCCCGGACATATTTATTAATCTAAAATGACCTTGTTAAGAACAATAAAGATATCTTTTAGAAATGTTGTTCTTCTGCAGTTAATAATAATAATAATTCTTGAATTTGATCTAGCGCTTTTCACGTCTTCTAGGCACCTCACAGCGCTTCACAGAATATACTGTAGAGTGAATTGACTGCATTTTTTGTGGGCGAATCGCGGCAGCCAATTGCACACAGCAGCGTCCCACAAACAGTCGTGGAATGAAGTGACCAAATTATTATTGTTTTTTTTCTTGAGGGGCTATTATCAGGCGTGTGGCATAAGGAAACTTGCCCAAGGTTTCGCCCTGCCAGGGATCAAACCTAGGTCTCTCGCTTTTGAGGCAAGTGCTCTAACCACTGAGCTTACAGGACACCACAAACAGTTCTTTCCAGTAAACACTTAGTTGTCTGTCATCAATGATAAATGGGCTGATGACATGTGCAGACAGGTTTGGAAGCACACTACATTGAGATTAATAATTTTGCAAATCTCACAAGTGTAATTAAAATAATCCTGCTTGAAAGTTGGTGAATTAATGAATGAAAAAGCACTCATCTCGCATAGGACTATTAACCATATGTCACTTACCAGTCCATACAACCATACAACAGTCCATAAGAAGTGAATCCAACATTCCTTATTCCTAATCTGAAGTGAATGGCAGGGAAGAAGGAGAGATGCCAGGATTTAATTCCATAATTTTAACTCCATTAATTTTAACTGTTTCTAAGTGTGCAGTTCTGAGCACATCTCAGAAAGTGTTCAAATTATGTGTTAAATTTGAATACTACCTAACCAATAATATCCCACTTTCCAATCGCCCCACAGGGTAGAACGCTTAGGAGGAAGGGTAGAATATGTCTTAAAGTGTTGTTGTAAAGTCGGAATGATTTTCAAACGTGAGTGTAGCGCTAACAACCACACGGGGGCATATTGTCACAGAGCCTGAAGAGGCACTGTGTCTATTTTATCTGCAATGTTAGAAGTGTGCACTCCCTTATACTGTAGATTTGGTGGTGCGAAATCGGCTACGTGACATAGACCTCTGTATTTATATTTGGCAAAGTTCACACATTTCCTGCTTTGATGCTCATTGTTTTCAAAGTATTTGGTTTTTTGGGGGGAGTGGGGGGTGGTGACACAACAAAGGTGAGTTTGACCAATTTTTTTGTTAGGGTTCATGCTAAATTCTAAAATGTTACATAGTTCGCATAGAACACAGTTCTTTACGGTAATGTATGTAATTTTGCCTTCTTCAAGGCAAGACTCAAGACCCTCCTTTTTGACTGAGCCTTCAGCCGCCCTCCTACCCACTCTGCCCTCCCTCATCGCAACCCTGCCCTCCCCCCCCCCCAAGCTCGGGTCCTGATCTATGGCCTCTGATCCTTGACTGTTCAGTGCCTTTGGACGTCCTCCCAACGTGAAAGGCGCTTTACAAATGTAATTTTGTTATTTGATTACATTCCTTAAGGTCTTGTGACAATGTAAATTGCGACATATTGGGTTATTTTGTGGAAAGCAGCAACCATCTTAATGTCATCAATTTCTCTTTATTTTAGGAAGTGCAAAATGTCTGACCAAAGGCAGCGTTCACTATCTACATCCGGGGAAACGCTATATGTTGTCCTGGGACTTGACAAAAATGCAACACCAGATGACATCAAGAAATCATACAGGTAATGTGTTTGGAGACCATTTAAGAAATCAAGCTGTTCAGTTCATTCAGATCTCTGAAGCCTTTGTAATCTTTAAAATTCCAATTTCACTTTAAAGACCGTTTAAAAATGGATTGTTGACATGTCCCCTCACCCTGACCATTTCCCCCCTCCTCGCTCCCTCCCTTCCCTCCCCTCACCCTGACCATCTCCCCAATGCTCGGTTCATGACCCAACTGTGCAGCGCCTTGGGACGTCCTCCTGACGTGAAAGGCGCTTTATAAATGGAATCTTGTTGTTGTTGTTGTTGCTGTAAAATGTAGCATTATGACTGCTATCAGTGAACACTGACCAAAACAATCAACTTCCTCAGCTGCTGGTATTGAATGCTGCAGGTATTGAAAGGCAACGCTAGAGGGTGCAATGTGTTGGGGGAGATCCTGTTATAGTAATTTGGCAAATTGTTATTGTGATTGTTATTCCACTGTGTATATATTTATTATCTAAATGGTAATCAGGACTATCAACACCAAATCCTCAGTAAGATCTTATGCTGTTCTAGATTTTATACTTTTGCCTTTCACCTAATCGAAATATTACTATTATGTGAAACGCAGAAGTATACAATCCAGATCAGCATAAAATCTTACTGAGGTTTAGGTTTAGCTTGGGATTGTTACATTCTAACTGTCTACAACCCAAAAAATCATTGATGTACAACAGTTACCTACAATGTTAACTGGATTTGATTGCATTTACAGAAAACTTGCACTGAAATACCATCCTGATAAGAATCCAGACAATCCTGAAGCCTCAGAAAAGTTTAAAGAGATAAATAATGCTCATGCAATCCTGACTGATGCAACAAAGCGGAATATCTATGATAAGTATGGTTCACTGGGGCTGTATGTGGCAGAACAGTTTGGAGAGGAGAATGTAAACACGTACTTTGTCCTGTCCAGCTGGTGGGCAAAGGTAAGTGGATTTTGAAAGTCATAGCAAAGATGTTATATACTCTACAAAATATTAGTATAACAGCTAGTATCTTGTTTGCAGCAGATTTGTTTTTAATTAATGAGTAATATGTAACTCAGCATTGTACGACAGAAGCAATTAATTTAACTAGTTTCTCCTTTTTTTAAAAAAAGTTTTGTTTTCAGCATTTGTGTGTTTTTTTCCCCCCGCTGCAGGCACTGTTTGTCTTTTGTGGGTTGATTACTGGCTGCTACTTCTGCTGCTGCCTGTGTTGCTGCTGTAACTGCTGCTGTGGAAAGTGTAAACCGAAGCCTCCCGAGGGTGAGGAACATGAGTACTATGTCTCACCAGAAGATCTGGAGGCACAGCTACAGTCAGACAATGAACGAGGTAAACGTTCCCACTGACTAGAACAGTATTTTGTCACGTGTAGTTTTAATAAATTGGACAATGGCGATTTTACCACCTGCCCTGTCAAATTAAGAGTTAAATTCTGATAGCAATCAGTAGTGTTTGTGGGAGGTCCCAAAAAAATCGAATAAGCTGCATATTTTGAAAAATAAATGTACCTTCAACCTGCAAATTTCTTGTCTTGGCAATTTCTGGATTCCATTAGATAGTCTCACCATTAGAATCCCATTCAAAAATATTGGTAACATTTGAAATGTATATATTTTATGTGCTGATGACTATAGAAGTGCGCAGGCTAATGATAATCAGTGCATTTTATATAGATTCTTATCACGTCAAAGTGTTTCAAAGCAATTCACAGATTTGTTCAGTGAAGTATAGTGCCTTTATGAACAAGTGGCTTTATAAGCAAATATGGCAAACAATTTGTGCACAGCAGATTCACACAAACAGTCATGAAGAGAGTGGCCTTTTTTAATCTTAGGGAGTTGATTTATCAGTAGAGATGTTAACCCAGGAATAACGTTAGCTATTTGCATGGGCACTATCCTCTCACGTCAGCTGGATAACGCTTCCAAACCAACACTCACTATGATGTCAGCTTGCCCCTCAAATCTTTTTTTTTAACCCCATGTATTTTAAAATTGTCGGTTCTCACTCTTTGATTCGTATCAGTCTTGTTGGCGCGTTGTCTGTGGTGAAATTAGAACCTGAGAACAATCGTGTTCGAAGTAGTTGCTAGAAGATTTTTCAAAAATGTTGATTGACTTTTAGAAAATTGTGCATTAAATGCTGTATTTACTCATCTGTTTTTAAATGTTGCATGTCCTTTTACAGACTTGGGGATTATTTAAGGATGTTTTCTAAATGTGCACTGGTAAATGAAAATATATGGCCTGTTGAAATATATTGAGGTTAATTAATGACTAAATTCACTACAACTCTTGTATTGATATGCTGTGAAGTCATACTCCCTGATAATAATCCCTCAAGAAAAAAAATAATAAATTGGTCATTTGGATCCAGGACTGTTTGTGGGACGCTGCTGTGCACAATTGTCTGCCGCGTTTCGCCCACAAATATACAGTCAATTCACTTTACAGTATATCCTGTGAAGCGCTTTGAGACGTCTCGAAGACATGAAAAGTGCTTTATCAAATGCAAAGATTATTATTATTACTGCTCAGCGTTCTCTTGCATTGGTAGGCTTAGTAACAAAACAATTGCTTCCAATGGTTTCATCTTTGCAACAAGTTCATGTTCCATGTTGGGCTAATATTTCTGTAAAGCATTATCAGTATATCAATGGTATGGTGTAGTTCAAAATTTGTAACTGTTACCTTAACTATGTTGCACACAGGATTTGTATAAGTAAAATAGTAGCTGTGTAGTGTAAATGAATGCAAACTATATTGTTGAATCCACAATGCATTTACTGATTTTTCTTGTGATCTTAATGGACGTAGATTAAAAAATAATTATGAGTCAGTTTCTTCCACCTAAGCAAAGGTTAATTACAGCTGTATCATTCTGGAATATCTGCTTTAGAATTCATCCTCCAAATCTTAAGGCTCAAAAATTCTATTTTCTTTTCAGTTGTGCAGTTCCTAATTAAAGGTTAGTTACGGCTGTATAACCCCAGAATGATTGTGTGCTGCATAATTCTTCCACAGCATGATAAAAGGCTCAAAAATTCTATATTTTTCATATTAAAAAACGACCAATAGTGATAGTTGTTTCTTAGTGCTGTAGCTGAAATCGCTTTATTACCACTGATGTAGATTACAAACTATATTAGATTAGACGCATTCTCTACAAACTACTTTGCAAATTTAAGTCTTATATCCTTTAAGAAGCTCATTTTCCTTTTGAAAAGCCTCAGCACTCCCGTTTGTGTTTTCTATTTATTTAATGACGTTATAATATTTAGAATGTGCACAATGGCATTCTTTACACAGTTAAAACTTATTGCAAAACCTTTTTGAATAGTGTATTACATGTTGAATATAATGGTACTTTGGCGAACTTGAGACTTGGCAATGCACGATAGCAATGATACTTACCTAACCACTCCATCCAATACAATGCTATGTGGAAATAAATAGCCAGAGCAAGGAGAAAATGCAGATAATTCTGCTTTGTAAGCCCTTTTTATGAAATAAAACGGGCTACCGTGAAAACGGAAAATATTTCATCATCTCCTACCACATATCTTCAATCTTTTTTTCAAGACCTTTATAACTATGGTCCACAGAGAAATGTAATCTCCCATTTTAAGATGGGGCCAGGCAGACGAGGAACAACTGGATCATTGGATTTCACAACATTTTAACAGCTGTTGTCTCTCAAGCATTCATTCATGAACACTGAATATGGTAGTTAGTGTCATTTTGCACCTGTTGTCTGCAGGAAAAGAATGCACATACAATCCTGATGTATACACCTCACTGGATACATAGACATCTGGGTGTAAAACAGCATTAATTTAGGATCTTCAGTTGTGTGGATTGAATCCTAATGAAAACAAAACAAGAAGTTTCATGTTGAAAAGTATCCCTACACAACGTTGATCTTTAAAAACACCTTGTTGTGAAAGGTATAGAAAGGACTCGAGTCTCAAATCATTTTATTATAATGAAAATGGATTATTTGGATTATAAATTTGCTTTTTTCACAGAGGGAGATGGAGCAATTGTGGTGCAGCCAACATCAGCCACAGAAACAACCCAGCTGACTAGCGACAGTCACACCAGCTACCACACTGAAGGATTTAACTAAGCGCCATTTGCTCTTGTAATTTTAAAAATTATATTTAAGTCATTTCAGCACTGGGATAGTTTATGCTATAGATCGGGGAAGAACTTTCACAGGACTTTTGCCATGTCGAGGGCAGCCACAGACATCATGGAAAACGTCATACTTTATTTTGCCTTTTTTTGTCATTACTCATTTCCTTCATAACAAAGTACTGTAGCATGCAGTATGCAAAACGTTTAGAGAATTTTTGTATTTTAGTGACCTATTGTAAGGTGCGAATGTTGCATCATTGTTCTATTTACATTCAGCACAGGTAAGTTTAAGCGTTCTGCACATAAGCAACCGATGGGTTCAGAATCATTGGAAAGTCACAGGACCCATATTGTCTTCTGCCTACTGAGCTGAGCCTCCATTGATTCTGCTGCCAATCATGTCAGTTTTTATTTTTTTTTAAAAAATAGTAATTATGGTTGCTTGGAGAGGGGCAGTCTCTGCAAATGTATGTTCTTTGTGCTCAAGATTCATGAAATCCTGTTGTGTACTGTTCATCTAGACAAACAAATTTGCTTATGCAGTTAGATGTATAGATAGAATAAATGTTGTCATTGACTAAATCGAAACAATGATACGTTGTAAAATTATGCTATAGTCATGAATTTGACAGTGCTCTTGTGTTCAGTTTGCATAAGTATAGGTTTCATTGGATTTACTTCAGGCTTTAAGAAGTTTTGTTTTAAGATTTTTTTTGTAAGATTATTGATGGTTTAAGAAGAGAGCATGCTAACTAAAATGACATTAAAATTACTAAAAGGTTAATTTGCGTTTGCTAGTTAATAGCGTACTAGATATATCTACAAAGAGACTCAAACCCCTGCACAAGCAGGAGTGTGTGATCATCCATTTTAAAACTGGAGACAAAAGTTTGGGGTTTTGAGAGTAGTGGTCTGAGTTTATGTGGAAAATCAATGCATGCAGAGCCACGGGCATGTGCAAATGTTTGGGAAACAGTTGTCGAGAACTCCAGAGCATTGGCTAACTTCTGATTCAGAGTCGCAATGCAGCACCATCTGACATCCCCACTTGGCCTGACTTATGATTCATGACTCATTCTGAGTCTAATTTGTTTTGTGGGTAATTAAAAGTCCTGGTACACATCTGTGTATAAACCTCATAATGCTATTTACACAAGCTTTTGTGATCACTGAATTATCAGCCTGCTTATGACTAGTCAACCAGCTTTCTTTCCTGGTTGAGACACTGCCTAAAGGCAGTGAATTATCAGAAATCACAAAATATCGGATACAGAGTTCATTGTTGACGGAGTACTTTTTATGCTGCATGAACATGAGAATAAAACAAGATTATCTACACTACATAGGATATATTAGCAAGGATCGCGTGCTAAAAATTGTTCACAACAAGATACATGTCCAAATAATAAAACACTGATGTAAATGAAAAGCAGACAATCCTCCACAGTGAAGAATGGCAAATTGGATTTTTCATGTTCAGCGCAGTACTTATATTTACATTTTTTCTTGTGTAAGGTAATATTTTGTCTGACTAGGTCCTGAGATCGGGTGCTTATATAGTGCTCTATTGTGTCTGATATTTTGAGACTGCGCTTTATTCAGTAACTTTCCAAAAATTATGAACTTGTTCAGAGTAATACAGAGTATCGCTGTAAATGTACATTTCAAACAGCAAGTGGAGTATTTTTTAAAAGTAGACTTTCTGCAACAGCAGTTGCAAAGTGAAATGCAGTAGTTCTATTGGTGCTAAATCAAGTGTATTTAGGTACGAAAAGCTGGAGAGGGAAGAAAGTTCACAGGTTCAAGAACAAATAAGCTTGTATTTCCTTAAACAATATCAATTGCTCAGCTCATGGTCTTTCCCCAAGTAATGCAAAAACTGATCCACAACATCTGTTTCTGCACATAAGCAACAGCTACATTCAGATGCCTTTGTAGAACATGTACACACAAACTCCTCCATTCTAGACCCAACTGAGTAAAACAGCCTACTCACTACTCACTCATCTCACTGTTAGGGAGAGCAAACATAATAAAGATGTATTTCATTTTTGGAATCTGCATGGGTGTATCTTGTTTTAAGCTTCCCTGAATGTTGTGCCTCCTCCATATTGTGCAAGATCTGTTTCTGTCCAGTTTGCTTCTTACCTGTGCAGAGGATACAACCTGAAGCTTTTTAGAGGTAATTGTTCTAATGATTTGTACTTCTCTGTCAACAGGCACACAAACCAAACAGGCTGACATTTAGTTTACTGAAGCAGATCTGCATGCTGTTCATATAAAACATACTTCTATTTTGAAACAAAAAATATCTTGCTTTGTTCAGGAACTTAAAAAATAAAACAATTTTAACAAATTTGCTACAATTAACAAAAAGAGAAAATATCCTCAGAGGTTTCCTAAATGGTTTGCGGCATTAGTGAATAAAATGCTGGGTTTCAACTACTATAAATATTAATTGCAACAATGCTTTTTAAAGGTTATTGAAAAATATTGCATGATCATTACACTAGTTAAAAACAGTAACTGTCATTAAGAACAAATGCTTTAAGGCACTTAAATCGATCCAGTCAATCAACTTTCTTATTGCATGACAAAGTTAATCGAAAGCTGAAAAGTGGCATCCTTTGCTCATCTAATCATTCCAATTTACAATTGGATAATATCGTCCAAAAGATACTGATGTGGAATCAGGGTCTGTGTTTTCAGGCCAGACATGACTGGAAAATGTTCATCCCATGTATGCCTTACTTGCGCCCTCAGCTTTAAATCGTTCAGATTTTATTTAAGTTAACAATTAAAACATTTCCGGCATCCAGTGGTTTTCGTTTTAAAAGATGCTTTTGTGTGGTATTTGTCCTTTCTTGCTTCACGACTCCACATATTTCCTTTATCATTTGGGAAGGTCTTTGACATTACGACGTCCACCTTGTGCTGCAAGATCGCCTCTTTATTTTTTTTCTCTCTCGTGCTGTGAAACTGCAATGCTGTATCAACTTGTGTTGCACTCACTAAATAAATATATGTACCTAGACTGCCCTGCACATTATTTTCTAATTCTGGCATCACAATTACAATGAAACTACTAATATTGAAATTGTTGAGTGAAGTTAAATATTTTTGTTTAACTATTTACATTTGACAACATATTTACTTAAAATGAGCTAACATACACCATGCTTTATTAGGCAACACATAGTAATTGATTAGGTTTCAGGTTACCCTGTTGTCACAAGTAAGATGCTGACCTGTTTCAGTCATGTACAAATGCAATTAATGGTTTCTAAAGAATTTGACTGTTTTCTTCCATAATTAGTAGGACAAAAGTGTCTTACTAATTTACTCTGTGTACGTAGAAGTCATTGATTATTTTAAAAATAGTATATTGAAAACTATCTCCTGTTTTATATATTGTTATTTTGCTGTCTTGCATAGATGTTGAGTGCTTTTAGCATTGCATGGTAGTGTTAAGTAGAAAAACTGTTTGGTTCTTACCAATTGTGATATCATAAATCTAAATTATGGAGTACAGTATTTGTTTTTCACGTTAGTCTTGAAGGTAATGTATGCAGCATCTTTAATCAAGTGAAACCCTGTCCCAGTCAAAGATTGCATTATATATTGCCAGTATCTGGATAAAGTACAGATATTCGATGGGGTTTTGTATTGTTTCTGTTTGTCTCATGATTGTCCGGTGTATTCATATTGGCTAAAGATGTATAATTCTAACAATTGCTGAGGAAAACCACTAAGTCTCCCAAGAAAGTTCACACATTCAGTTGTCTATATACCATTAAAACTGGTTGAGAAACTTTTTCACTGTTTAATTTTAGTTACAGTGGCAACAAGTCAGTGTAAAAGGTTTTGATCCTAAAGCCATCAGTTATTCAGTGTACATTCCCCAAATAGGTAGTGACCACTGGTGATAACAGCGGGGCAGTTGTGACTGAATTACACATCAAGCATTTTAGTACTGTTGCTGAACAACTGCAGTGATTATTTTATAAGCTTGGGCTACAGCAACATAATGATTTAAGAATAATACTGGTAATATAGTAATTGATCAAGTTTCAATGAAGCACGTACCTCTATACTCTGCTGAAACACATTGTTTATTTTGTCATTTCTTTCTTGTCCTGTCTCCCCTCAATGAATTTGTTAGGCACTAATCCTCTATATTAAATTGTATAACACAAGTGAAATATTGTCACGTGGCTGTATTTCAGTTTTCCGGGTCAAAAATACGGTATTTTTTTAGTTTGTAATGTGAAGCAGTGTGCTGCAACTGTGCCAGTACAGCAAACATGTGCAAGTGTTTTAGCATTCATGTATTTGTGCCAGCCATCGTATGAGCTTTTAAGCTGCTGTTTGTTTATAAGCAATTTAAGAAAAATAACTAGACCGTAACATATTTACTGAATATGTGCTGCTCTCACATGGTAAAGGCAAAAGTATCCCAGATGTTGTTGGATGTGGCTGCAGAGGAAATAAAAATGTCATTTAATTGTCAAGCCAGAATGCATTGTGTGATCTGTACTTGAAAATGGATTCTTTAAAATTCTAAATATTAGTGGTGTAAAAATAGCATTAAGCATTGTTATCCAGCATTTTTGGTATATTCTTAAAAGGACCATGATTTAAATTATATGTAAGTAGATGTCATTTGAAATGTTAACTACAGGACTCTGCCCATGAACTCCTGTATATACGATAAACAGTAATGTTTGTTTTAGCATGGTAATGTGCTGTATGTCTGAAAAATATTGGTAATTTATTTGATTTTCAGTTGTAAAATAAATGTGTTTCTGATGCTTAAAATCAAAGTTTGTGTGTCTTAGCTTTATTTTTCAAATTGTGTTTTACCCAAAGTACTAACTATTTAAAAAATAATTGCTCTAGTAAAAGTTATTACAAATTGGGTAACGTGCAAAAGTCATGTTATGTATGATGGAGTAGGTACCAGGTTCAATACAGTTTATTGTCCTATTGTCTAAAGTTCTTGACCCACAATGTATAGTGTATATGTAATGATACATCACTGAAACAGCACAGAAATGAGCCACTCACCTATACTAGTATTTATACTGCACACAAGCCCCTCTTCCTTTCTCACTGAGGTCTGTAAAGTTTCCTCTAATACACTGATGTTGTTAACCACATTAAAAGTATTCAATTGTATTGCAGCTCATCAAAATGCCATTTATTTTGATAGGACTTTTTTTTACTTTAATTGATTCATTAGTTGGAAGTTGTTTAAAGCTGTATTCCCAAATGAGTATGTGGTCAGGGTATTACATCGGGTTTTATAGTCATGCTCGAGTTTGAATTAAGCTAAAACTGAAAAGTTCTCCTATTCCACATCTGTTACATTGCACAGTACTCTTGCGATGTGCCTTGTTGCAGACCAATTCTATCTCTCCAGCTGTCTGAAATCTTCGAGGGCAAGAATTATTTTCGTGACATCATAATACTATCTTTGATAGAAAAGTAGTTGAAGAGATCAAATGATTAACTTCTGGCATCAACAATTGAGTCCCAATCAAATTTGTTGATGAAATCTATCACATAAATGTAAAGATTCTTGTATTCAATTGCTATTAAGAGAAATGGTTTTGTTCATTTTAAATTAAGCTTTTTATACTAACCTCTCTATAGTATATATTTAAAAATGATATGGAATATTTCCAGATGAGCTTGAAAGCTTGGCTCTCTTGTGCTAAAGTACTTGATAATGCAGGCAGGAGATTAGATCGATCTGAACAGTAACCGTGTTAAAATCTTCCAGCTTCTTGTGGTTTAAATACCACTTCTATTTTGTACTCGTTTTCAAATAACTTCTAGTCAGCAGAGATGATGACTTCCACTTTCTCGTTTGAAATTCTACAATTTGAAAAGTTTATCAGCCAAATTATCAAAGCAAATTGGTCTGTTGCAACTAACTAGCTGAAATCAGTTATTTGTGCAATGGAAATATCAAGAGTGATGAGTCATCCACACGTTTGTTCATGCCAGAGAGAGGAAGAGGAATATTTAAAGAGGCTTTGGGGCAAGGCTGCCTTCAGCCAGAATTTGTTGCACTGACATGGGGGAGGGAGAGGGGCAAGGTGAAGAGAAGGATCTAAAGTCTGTTCCATCAACGCAAGCAAAGGAGCTAAATCCCAAAAGATTGTTTAGTACAGAAGTATAGACCTTAATGAAAAACATTCAATGTGGTTGTGTATGTTTATGAACATACAAGGTGCCATGATGGGGTTCAACTGTGAAAACAGAAGTGGATTCCTGTAGCTCAGTGGTTAGAGCAATCGCCTTGCAAGCGAGACATCTGAGTTCAATTCCAGGCAGGACGAAACCTTGGGCAAGTTTCCTTACTCCACACGTCTAATAATAATCTCTCCAAAACAAAACAATAATAAATTGGTCATTTTCAATCCACGACTGTTTGTGGGACACTGTTGTGCGCAATTGGCTGCCGCATTTCGCCCACAAATATACAGTCAATTCATTTTACAGTGTGTTCTGTGAAGCGCTTTGGGACGTCCTCCTGACGTGAAAAGCGCTATATCAAATGCAAGGATTATTATTATTATATTCTGTGAAGTGCTTTGAGACATCTAGAAAATGCAAGGATTATTATTATTATAAGACATGACTTAAGAATTTCACTTTTATTTGCTAGAAACTCAAAAGACATCGAGATATTATAATGGAAAATCATGTACTGGATTTATAGTAATTCCATTTTGTAGATAAAAANGAAGGTATTGCCACTTCAGCTGCATGATCTCATAAATAATGAGCTCACTGGAACTGATGAATAAAAAAATTTTGGTCATTACCATCTTGGTCATGACTTATTCTATCCACAATGTTTGTGGCTTGACGACTCATGTTGACTGGCTAAAAGAATTGCTGATGAATAAAAACAATTTTGGTCATTACCATCTTGGTCATGACTTATTCTACCCACTATGTTTGTGGCTTGACGACTCATGATGACTGGCTAAAAGAATTGCAGCTTGCAAGCTAGAAATAGCAGCTGTCAATACTCGCTTAAATCTTTCTTTAGACTTGAGTGTTTGAGGATTTGGAAGCATGCCAAGTATCTCTACACTAGCTGATAATCAAGAGCACGGTCTCATTCCTCACAGTAAAATCCAGGTTTACAGGTTTTGAAATCCAACCATCTGCCAGCCTAAGATACCTCAGAAGCAAGCTAACCAAAATCCGAAGGAAATTCTAATACATAGTTAAAAACAAAAGCTTTGAACCCGAGCAGAGAAAAAGTAGATGCTGGCATAAAATTGTGTTGGAGCAACACTCAAAACGCTCCTGTAATTTGAGGAGTTAAAATCACTGTTCCCTTGCGATATGAATGGAAGCAACATGAGAGGAGTAATGATCCTTGAAAAAATCCTGACGTTCCATCTATGGACAACGGCATGTCTTGTTTCACAACATGTGATGCCTGTGACTTAAATTTAAACACAATGACAGATTGGTCATGCACAGGGCAGGCTTGGATCCTTGCCTTGCGGACCTCAAAACCTCCTTTTGTAAGCAAGAAGATTTGAGGAAACCGAAAAGAAATTGTATGCTGATTTGTCCAATTCCGGCTTTCCCCGTGAAATTTTTTTTTGACATGTCTATCCCGATGGAATATGGTTCCATTTACAGAGATTGTCAAACTATGGATGATCTGGAGAAACAGCTGATTTGCCCAATTTGCTTGGAAATGTTTACCAAGCCTGTGGTGATCCTGCCCTGCCAGCATAACTTGTGTCGAAAATGTGCCAACGATATCTTTCAGGTAAGAGACCCCTATCTTTGTGCGAATCTCAAATCCATGAATTTCCTAGGGAATTAGACTTAATCATTATTATTATTATTATTAATTAAAATCTCTCTTGTTTCTATGTGCTATGACCATAAATGGATGATGTGTTCCATATGAAGTACAACCAATACTAACATTGATCTGGAAAAGTACCAGGGCAGGTTTCATACTCTCAACAACAACACCTTGCGCTTATATACGCTCCCTGTGGCGGAGCCTGACTCCGAGCGGGGTGGGAGGTGGTGGGGTGGTGGGGAGGAGGTAACCATAAACACAGTCGAAAAGGAAGGTTTTCAGGCGGGACTTGAAAAATGGGAGAGAGGGGCCAAGGCGAGGGATTGGGGGAGATTCGTATGAAATAATATTCTATTCTTCCACCAAGAGAATGTTTCCAAGATAATTTGGAATTGGATTTTCACACACCCATCGTCTCAAAGCACTTCACAGAATATTTATTGTAAAGTGGATTGATTGTGTATTTTGTGTAGCTCCGACGATGCCACATCTTTTGTATTCCTTTGATCTATTACCTTTCTCGTCTTTTAATTTTGCTTTATTTGTGGATGTTGCAATGCCACGTCTAACTCCCGATGGGTGTAATGTAATCCGAGTCAAATCTTTCCCCTTCCATTGCTAGTCTCGTGGCACTGCCTTGGGCTCGGGGGGCCGTTTCCGATGTCCATCCTGCCGGCAAGAAGTTGTCCTGGACAGACATGGAGTTTATGGATTGCAAAGAAACTTATTAGTGGAAAATATTATTGACATTTACAAACAAGAATCTTCAAGGTATGAGTTAAATAGATCCATTTCAGGAAAACACACACACACACAAGACCGGCCTGGATGATAATGAATCAGAGTAGATCGTTTTATAAAATGAATCTATCCCTTAAAAATTAAACTTTGTTTTGTAGCCTGGAAAACAACCGTGTGGCCAGAAAAGACATTTAAATAAATAACAAAGTTGTCCAACAGGAAACAGATGAATATCAATGACTGCTAGCCTCAGAAAGTAAACATGGTAATCGTAAAGAAATGAAAAGCTACAATAATAATTAAGCCTGTCAAGTCGAAACTCATTGGTGTGTGAGATATGTGCTCTTCTCATTTTTAGAAGATGAGGACATTTATTTAGAAGGATTTGATGTCTCTGATTCACCTCTCATGTTGTTGTTGATTGGTTGCTATTTACAGTAAATATCTAATGGCATTTACTTAATCTAGGCCTAATGCAAAAGCGGAACAGCCTATATGTGAGGAGCATGACGAGGAGAGGATCAATATTTACTGCGTGTCGTGTGAGGTTCCTACCTGCTCTCTGTGCAAGGTATTCGGTGGACACAAGAACTGTGAAGTGGCCCCTTTGGCAACAGTGTACAAACAGCAGAAGGTGCTTATAACAAGCATTTGTTGTTCAGCTGACGGCGGACTTACACTTTACACAATGTTACTGTTCATTTAAAAACTCGGTCATTTAAAAAAAAACCTTAGCAATACCGTTGTTGTTTTACAGAAAGACCTTAGTGATGAGGTTGGTACCCTCGTAGCGGCGAATGCCAAATTGCAAGGTTTTATTAATCAGCTGGGGGAGACCACCAGAAATGTTGAGGTAACTATTGATTTATGTGCTCCACCTCCTTCTAGATAATGCATCGTTCTGGCTATATCACTGACCAATATTGAGAGTGAAAGAAGTAGGACTTTAGACACCTGCACTACTCCAACAAGCTGCTCCAAGGGTTAACCCGTGGGGTTAACATTAACGTGCTCCGCTAGTTAATTTCTCATCAGGAGGACGTGTCTGACAAGATTTCCTGTAAAGTATAGTGAAGATGTATTTTGTGGGCGGATGCGGCAGCCAATGTCCCACAAACAACCATGAAGTCAACGACCAGTTGTATCTGGAGAATTTCATCAGGACAACAGGAGATGTCTCCCGTCTCTCATCAAATGATTCGAAGGACGGCACATCTATGATTGCTGCATTCCCGCAGCATTGCATTGGGACATCAGCCCAGTCCTAGACTATGAGTTGAAAATACCCATGTGGGTATACCCAGAGGCGAGAGGGTTACCATTTAAGTATTCAGTTAAGATGGAGTATGAATCACTTGGGCTCTCCAACTCTGGCAGAAGTGATCTCTCCTTCTCTGGCTGAGACATGTCGGATTTTACACTCAAGTATTTGTCACTCAGTTTGGAGTCCTGACCTCTGACATGACTGAAATGTGTGAGGTTACAACCCCTTCTCGTGTGTGCTATCTGTCTGCACTCCTGACGATTATTTAGTGAGGACAAACAAATCCTGATCAGATTACATCGTTTCAGATTGACAGGTTTAAAGACGACTGTTATTCATATTTAAAATAGGCGGAGAAATAATAACAATAAAACAATAATCCTTTGCAATTGTTATAGCTCCTTATCATGTCTTCAAGACGTCTCAAAGCACTTCACAAAATATAGTGTAAAGTAAATTGACTATATATTTTGTGGGCGAAACACAGCAGAAAATTGCCCACAGCAGCGTCCCACAAACAGCTGTGGATTGACCAATTTTTTTTTTCGTGTGGGCTTGTGTTTTCTTACGGATTAGGAATAAAACTAATTAAATGTGTCCCACCACTGCCCTGGAGTGTTACCACTCTGTTAAATTAACAAAGAAAAATAAAATTGTTTAAGTTTGAAATTCAAAACGACAAAGCTACAGGGGAAAGTGTTTTCTTTCACATCTTTAAACAGTGATCAGAATGATTTTAAATTTGTTATTCAACTTTTTTTTAAAAGAAGAAGTCTTCTGTAGGAACGAACCTGTGCTGCTTCATTACACGTGTCCCAGAGGATTTAATGACTCACACAAGTGGAAGGAGAAAATAACAAGCTACACTGCAGCAGACATTCAGGCTGTCAGGGGAACTCTGTGTGGGAGAGCAGTGAGCTGAACCAGTCTGTATCTATCTCTGGTACTGGAGTGAGAAAGGAGACATTTCATGCACTTTGCATTTTTATCAAACAAAACCACGCTTCACAGGAAATAATGCAAAGCCTCAGAATTCAGAGGATTTATTACAATGTGTAACAAACCGGAGACAGATTTCTTAGCCTTAAATATTCGAGACTGTGCACATATAATGTATCTTGCACCCACGATAAAGTCCTCAGTTTTCCCTAGACAACAACAACTTGCATTTATATGGCGCCCTTCACATGTAGTGTTCCGGAGGGCTCCAATAATACGATTATTGTATTCTAAATACAGTACTACAATTTTCCTTCTCTTCAATGCCAGAAGATGTGATAAGGCACTACATCAAATGCAAGGATTATTATTATTATCAGTGAGGAACTGCTGGGAGAGTCGGGCGAAAGAAAAGACCTGTTATATTAGCCATGAACTATCCAGTTCTCCACCATCACTGATTATTGTTGTTCTGGTTAAATGTTGCTCTGGTTATACCACAGCCCCTATAGAATGCAATATTCCATTTCCACTCAGTTTGATCTACAGTCATTGTGAAAGAGCCATGTTAAAACTCGCCCAAACTTAGAGCGTAAGAACATAATATTCTAGTAAACTGACTGAAATAAAAAATGATGTCTGAATATAAATATACTTAGCTTTTCAATTGACTAAATACTATCCCATACTGTCTTACAGCACAACTGTAGGAGTCAAAAGCAGATGTTGTGTGAAAAGTTTGACTCCCTGTTTACTATTTTGGAAACACGAAAACAAGAAATGTTACAAAGAATCACAGGCGAGCAAGATGAAAAGACCTCTTACTGCAAGTCTTTGATGAGAACTTATGGAGAACATGTACACGCCATGTCTAAACTTGTGGAAACAGCACTGCAATCAATGGAGGAACCGCAAATGGCAGTATTTCTGCAGGTAGATTTCCCCAGTTAAGGCTCGCTCCATTGGTTTCCTTGTTATGCATTTTCTATGGCTAACTTACAAGTTAATGATTTTTCCTTTCTTTCACAGAATGCAAAGTCTATGACTACAAAGTAAGTAATAAACAGCACAGACAACTTCCCATCAAATACTGAAGAATCTTACTGAGTGTAAGAGTAAGCTAATCAATGAAGTTCCATGTGTAATTTAATTAATCATCTTCAGACTTTCAGAGGCAACGAGAGCATCAGAGTTTGAAGAGTTAGAGCCTGATTATGAAACTATGGATCATTACACCGCGGACTTTGAAAAAGAAGTGAAAATCCTACAGGAAACTGACTTTATCAAAGGTACTTCACACAGGCCTGAGATCAGCTAAACACAGCCCAGATTCATCATCATAATAATAATCCTTGCACTTGATATCGCGCCTTTCAAGTCAGGAGGAAGTCTCAAAGCGCTTCACAGGATTTACAGGTGTAATGACTATATATTTTGTAGGTGAATACCAAATGACAAATGATTGAACCATGTGCCTTTGGCTCACTTTCACACTTGAGTAGTAAAGCTACCAATGGATTCAATGGGGGAGCATGTTATAATTATTTCAGAGTTATTTAAATAGTTCCTTTATAGTCAAGAATCTATGGGCGGTCAAAAANTATTGCTTACATTATTAATTCCTATACAAACCAATAAACGTAATTTAGATTATTGTTTCTGAACTTTAAAACCTTAATATTGAAACAAAGTACAGAGCAAAGATTCAGATCTGTATCAATAGAAATACCCCAGAACTTCTTTGCTTTAAATATTTTAAAACAAACGTGTATTTTTAAAAAGAAAACAAAAACTGCTACTTTTAAGGAAATAAATACATTTTATAAGGGAATTTAAACCAATATCTTAGAATCTTATATAGGGCTAATGTTAAAAAAAAAACACTGGTTTGCAGCTGAAGAGGAAACTGAAGAAGGAGCTGAAGAAGATGAGGAATGCACAGCAGAAGGAATGGAAGATTGTGCAGCTGAATCTGAATGTCTAAACATTACAGCAGGATTAACCAACGCTGAATCAACAGGATGTGTGCTTGGAGCCTCTGCAATGGAAGAATCTTGTGCTGAATTATCGGTGGAAATCCCTGCAGCAGAATCCAGCGCTGAATTCTCAGGAGATAACCCGACATCAGAAGAATCAAGTCCTGAATTTTTAGAAGATAGCCCTGCAGAAGAATCTAATGCTGGATTATCAGGACAGAGCCTTGCACCAGAAGAATCTAATGCTGAATTATCAGGACATAGCCCTGCATCAGAAGAATCTAGTGCTGGATTATCAGGACATAGCCGTGCATCAGAAGAATCTAGTGCCGGATTATCAGGACATTGCCCTGCATCAGAAGAATCTAGTGCTGGATTATCAGGACATAGCCCTGCATCAGAAGAATCTAGTGCTGGATTATCAGGACATAGCCGTGCATCAGAAGAATCTGGTGCTGGATTATCAGGACATAGCCCTGCATCAGAAGAATCTAGTGCTGGATTATCAGGACATAGCCCTGCATCAGAAGAATCTGGTGCTGGATTATCAGGACATAGCCCTGCATCAGAAGAATCTGGTGCTGGATTATCAGGACATAGCCCTGCATCAGAAGAATCTAGTGCTGGATTATCAGGACATAGCCCTGCATCAGAAGAATCTGGTGCTGGATTATCAGGACACAGCCCTGCATCAGAAGAATCTAGTGCTGGATTATCAGGAGATAGCCCTGTAGAAGAACCTAGTGCTGAATTATCAGAGGAAATCATTGCAGTGAAAGAATCCGGCATTGAATGGTCAGGGGAAATCCCTGTGGTCGACGAACCCAACTCCGAATTCTCTATGGACATCCCAGCAATGGAAGAATCCAAGAGTGACCTTTCAGGTACTGCAGAGGAAGTCTCTGCAACCAAACAATCTAACGCTGCACATCCAGGTGCTGTAGATGGAGCTTCCCCAACAGAGGAAGTGAGTGCTTCCTCACTGGTGTTTGGAGATCTCAGTGAGGTGTCTTCAGATGCTGCAAATGGGAAATCAAGTGATTCACCTCCAGCTGCTTTGGATGAAGGAGCCCCAATAAGAATAGATTTGTGTATTATATCTCCAAACTCTGTGGAAAGAATCCCTGCAATAGATAATTCCAAGGCTGAACCTCCACATGTTATGAATGGAATTCTTGCAATGGAAGAACCCAGCCCTGGGGGTGCTGAGGACTTGATTGTTATGGGAGAGGCTTCCAGTGCTGAATTATCAAGGGAAATCCTTGCAACTTCAGGCGTTGCAGATACAGTCTCCACCACAAAGGAATCCAACCCTGAATCTCTAGAAGGAGTTCTGTCAACAGCTACGGAAGCTGGTGTTGCTGCACAAGAAGCTGAGGCCAAAGTGGATGAGATTGTTGAGAAGGTATTTCTTTTCTGCATTCCCAGAGCAAAGGAACGTACAACAAATGGGGGAAATTCAAGTTATCTTGTACTGCACATCAATCTGGAAACAGGTTTTTTTTCTATATTTGTGAGCACAGTTTACATTGTTAGAGTTCTATGGTTGGGTGTTTAATAATGTTTAAAAGCACAGTTTGCTGGAAGTTCCTGTGAGATTTAATGGGACTGCATGAATACTTTCTTAAGATATCTGGAAGAACTGAGCCCAGTATGGCTTATGTTGCACTAGTTGAATTTCACTGCTGCTGAGACTACTTCTTCTGGATAATTTCAGGGATGGAACCACTGGATTATTTGCCTGGTCTGATGCTCCCTTTGCACTACATGTTTGACAGCAAATCACAACCAGAATCTGGGCCACAATCCAACTGTATAAATACATCATGTTCTCATTTATTTATAGATCCCCTTGTGTCCTGTACTTTGTGCTACCAAAAAGTTTGTTTGACTTAGTCGCTCCTCCGCAAAAGATCCTTGAAAATATTCTAGACTTCGTTTTTTTAACACTTTTTAAAGGGACAGTAGTTTTATTATGGGTTTCTGCAGTTATTAAGTCCTCAAAACATATCATTTCTCCAAGTTGTTTCTTTAAACTAGTCAACTTGTTGCTGCAGTAATGCTTTGCTTTACAGAAGCTGAAAGAAGTATTCATATTTAATCTATTTAATCTATTCAAGTCAAGCTTAGAGTCAATAGAACAGATACTTCTATTTTTAAAAACCTTAACATTACCTTTTAAATAATATAACTGGAAATGTGATTCTTTAGGTAGTGAAGAGAATTCCCACTCTAATATGTTGATGACTGCTGATACATTCTTTGATCTTTCCCCCCATATCTCCTCATGTTAAGGATGATGTTACAATGAGTGGAGAGCACAAAGCTAATGACTTAGACAAACAACAGTTGTTGGCTGAGGAAGAAACTAAACTGTACCCAAGTTGGTATAAATCTGGGTGCTGGGCTTTGGTGAATGCCCCTTTGTTTGCCACAAGTACCAAAGAGGATGCCATCTCTCAAGATGCAACTGGTCCATCGTCAATGACAGAGAATATTTCACAGCCTGAATCTATCTTGGCTCCAGTTGATGCAGAGACATCCTATGCAGTGAACACATCTGATCAAGAGCCTGAAATACCATCACCTGTAGTCCAGGTCAGTGGAGAACAAGTGTACTAATTAAATGTTCTAGGGCTAATGAGGGTCTCCCCGACCATCATCCACTTCAGTGTCAGGCTGTCACTCATCTGTCAGTGCCTTTTGGCTGTTTCACATTCTGCAATCCTTGCAGCAAAGAGCACTATTTGATTATGGCTTCTTTATTGGAGATCAGGAGTGTTCGGGAAACATGGAATGGAGCAGAATGTTTGTTCCATTGCAGTAACGTTAGCTATAACGGGATGTGACACTAAAGTATCTTAAGATGAAAAGCCAAAGTGAAGTAATTGGATTACTCTGTTAGTATAATTAAAGAGTTTTGGTTTTGCTGCCAAATACTAAGAGACATGATAAAGCTTTAATGTGCCACAGTGTGACTTGTGGATTTGTTTTGTACCATATTGGTGGACCAGTATATGGCATGGTCAACAAGACCATCTCAGGGACAATGATGGTCTTCAAGACTCCTGCCCTGAATACTATTGTTACACTTACTAATTAGGCATGACCCAAACCTTAGGAATAACTAATCATTTCAGAATCTCCGATCTCTGACTTTTACTTTATTTTTCTTGATCCAATGTATGTTATAAATGCAAAGTAAACATGAAACATCCATCTCTAACAATGGATTTGGGCCCTTGTTCAATATTTTGAAAATGTGTACATCACCAGCCCAATGTGGTTGGTTACACTCTGTATCAGCAAGTCACAAAATATACAGTCAATTCACTTTAGGGTATATTCTGTGAAGCGCTTTGAGATGTCTCAAAGATGTGATAAGGTGTTATATCAAATGCAAGGATTATTACATATTATTACTGGGTAGGCACTGGTAATGTGATCCTAGATAACAATTTCAAATTGTTTGCTGAGAGTGGACAAATCTAGGCTAATTTCCTGGCATTGATCTCAAACTGGAAATGGTATTGTGTGGCTTCTAACATTATGAATAGGGATTCATGAATCATTATTACCAGAACTAAGGCTGACCCTAATACCGAAACTAACGTTTTGCTCATGGTTTTCGAGTGAAAATGACAAACTGAATTCTAATCTTGATGTCTGTGCCCTCGTGCTAATAACAATTGCAATAAATCTGCAATTTAGTATGGAACAATACATCCATTGAGCGCTTTACCAATGCCTTATTCAAGACTGATCTTGTTTATGTTCTGGAAAAGGTGCCAAGTGGAGACTAAGCATTTTTCCAGAGCGCGGGAAGGGAATCAGCCAAAAAATTGTAAGTGTCCTTAAGTGATTCTTGCACAACTCGTAGGAGCAAACTAGAAGTCAGCAATAGAGACCTGGGAACTGTTTTTTTCTGCCTGCACTATTGGTTATGCAGAGAGGAGTAAATATGAAAAAACATTAAATTACGAGAGAAGATATTCAACAAAAATATCCATCGATTGTATCGAGTTGTCTGGGGGTTTCCAGATTTATGTCAATAGTGCTTTTTGTTGCAAGGATGAACTTGTCTTTACATTGTCGTTTGTCTTCATCCCAAATGTCCTGGTCTGTTGTTCTTCACTAGGCACTAGGCTTCTGCCTTTCAATTTTGCTGATGATGGTCATACTTCACAGCCTTTGAAATAGGAATGAATACATGGCTTGTACATGGAAGTGTTGAATGGACTTTTAATGGAAAAGGTATCAGTATTTGTAACATTATTCTGAATTTTGTTTAACAGAACATTAATGTAATAAGAGCGCTGTGATGGGCAATTTTCTTATCACACCTGCACTATCTGTTAATATTTGGAAGTCAATATATGCTTCATTAATTCATTGCCATTTCAGGTATGAGCATCTTCTCATGGTTCTAAATGATGACATAAAATAAATAAAAGCAAATCCACAGTCTTTTTCTATCTCATCTCTGCACTTCTTATTACTTGACATTGTCCATTAATCCAGCGCCTTGGGACGTCCTGCTGATGTGAAAGGCCCTATACAAATGTAATTTTATTTTGTATTGTCCAGTTTAAGAAGCATTACCTTCTTTAAGGCTCAGTAATATTTTTTACAGATTTAAAACTGATTGCAATAATAATAATAAAACAAAGAGATCAAAACACTCAATGAAGTTACTTTGCTCTTTTCTCAGATAGAAAGTTCAAGCTCTACAGCAGAAACTTCTGGACAACAGACAGCAAGTCATGAACCGAGCACACCTGATCCAGCCCGCCATTTATTCTCCTTTTCCTGGCTGAATGCTCTTACTAAGTAGAGTAGCACGAGAGTCCTTCAGTCAACAGTGTGCAAGGGGAAACATTAAAAACAGTGACCAGCGTTTGGGAATGTAGATGTTGGTGAGGGAAGCAAGTGATTAGTAACTTGCACGAATATTGCAGTGTGAGCTTTTAATACAAGAGTTGGTCTGTGTCCTTTAATACAATCCAATTTGATCTAAAAAGAAGAGATGAGCACTTACATACAACTGTTCTACATAAATACAAGAAGATGCTTTAGTTTGAAGAGCTCAACCTAATGTGTTTATTTACCAGAATACTTCATTAAAGGGTAACATTTAGGAACATTTTCTGCTTTGTTGATTGTGCAATTTATATTAGACTATCGGTATTTTAAGGGCTATCTGCAGTGCTGGTATATTCAGGAGCATATGTGTTGTGTAAGATCTATATTTTACTATCAGTAGAAACTGGAACAATTACTAAAAGAGCCATTGTTAGCAGAAAGAAAAATCAGATTGAAAATGGGTCATCGATGAGAGTTGCGGATATAGGAATTGTTTTCCTGAAAGATAGTTTAAGATGTTTTTATCTTTATTTAAGATGTAGTATTGGATTTTGTTCCATTTTCATCCACTGAAAAAAATCTACTCTTCAAATGATGCAATGATGTGCATATTTTCTTTGAATCGATTTAGAACAAAATGGCTGTTAACTACAATCCTCTGTGGTTTACGTTAGAATAAATGAATTCATATCCATATGATTGAAATGTAAAGTTTGTTTTTCTTGGGAGTGTTTTCTGATTAATTAATAATTTATGATATAATACATATAACATTGCAGCTAATGTTTTCCCCATGTCCTTCTTTGATGATGCTTGTGTAACTCGAGATGCAGACTAATCTTATTTGGGATGAAACGTATTTTATGTGTTGCAAACTACTAACTACACAAACTACTGTGCTATCCAAAACATGAATAAATGAAATCAAGGTATGTATTACTTTATTCATCTCAAATAATACACATTGAAACTCCTCAATCCCATTAACCCAGTCCTTGCCAGGTCTCTACTAGCTTCTAATTCAGAACGGATCAATTTCAAGATCCTCACATTTACTTATAAATCAGTTCACCTCCTAGCACCTCTGCCTTCTTCCTATGTCCCTTGACCCTCTGGTCCATATTGGCGGGCGTGCTTTCAGCCACTACATCCCGAAACTCTGGAACTTTCTGCCTCATTCCCTTCATCTTACCCCCTCCTTGTCCATCTTCAGATCGCATCTGAAGACCTACCTCTTTACTGTGCCTACAATCACCTCCCCTCTCTCCTTGGCTCAGCATCACGCTCCACCATTGTTTAAGCTCTCTGACATACTACTCACAAGGGTGCTATATAAATCCAAGTTGTTGCTGTTGTTTTATCATTAAGTAATTGACATTGTAACCAATTTCTGTAATATTCTACACTTCTGAACCAGGAAGTGAGAAGCCAACTAAATCAGCAGATAAGTCACAAATAATAAAGTCATTTTGAAGCAATTTTACCTAAAGCTTTGTAAAAAAAACAAGCCATGTTGGTACACTTTATTTCACTTTATTTGAAAGAGTAATCCATCAGGTGGAAACACTGCATATGCTGGGTTGAAGTACAGTATTGTTTTTTACTATTTTATTTCTAATAGGCAACGTGCATTATGCAATATTGATGATAATTATTGGACACGGATCCTAAATGGACTCGATTTCCATTAGATAAATGTCATTTCCCTAGGCTTTCCATCATCAGTCTGTTACTCTGTGCTTTGCGGGCCATCTTCTCAGCCCTGGCCATGCCTAGGTACCCTCTCAAGAGATGGAAAGTGAGGTCGAGAGAGTTGGGTTTGGAGTTGTATCTCTTGGAGCGATAGATGGACAACAGTTCATCGTTACCTCTGGGAACAGCTTCGGCGCTCCTGGGGTTGGAGTGTAAATAGCCCAGAGTAAAAGATTCACTTACCAACGGCGGCTCCCCCCTTTCCCTGATGGGCGAGGGCTGAGCAGAGAAATGTTGGAGCAATCTGTGCCTCAAAGACAGAGGCAGACTGTAGCCCAGGCTCTCCACACCCAGCTCCTTGTCGCTGTGAGAGCCAAACCTCTCCCGGTCTGGATTTCTTAACAGATGCAACGTTTTCGCAGGAAGGAATGTAAATGCCAACAGGGACATTGCCAAGACGAGTGTATTCATTTTCCACGAGTGTCTTAAACAGGTCTTGGATTCTTTATATATAAAAAAATACGAAAACGACAGAATTTAGAGTATATAAATGTTAATACAGACACCAGTGACAGGTAGGTGCACAGCCAAGCCTCAGGGTACAGTTAAACACACGCAGCCACAATGTTAAACCCAATTGTTGGCACTGGGATCTTATTCAGTTACTTCGCAGCTATTGCTAAAGTCATACTCTGTACAGAATCCCCTGTGAGCAATCTTAGTCGATTGCCTGTAACGTTTCACATCTGTTAATTTGCAGTAGTCACTGTGCTCAGCATACAGTCGCACATTAAGAAATTGATTTAAATGATTCCCCCAATTACTAAACACCCATATGATATCATAATATCAATTAATGTTAAAACCATTTTCTTATCATTTCAATCCATCAATTGCCACTTTCCTGCATTTCAGTGATGTATGTATATGGCATTATTTACAATTACTTAAAAAAAGTCAGAAAATCTTACTGATCCGGCATTGCTTTTTTTTTGATTTACAAAATAACAAACACCGCACGTTCTACTATTATATATTATTATCATTTATTATATATTATTCATTATTATGTTATTATTAAAAACATCTATTATATATTATACATTATTATGATTGTACATTATTATATATTATTGTATAATAAATATCGGTTCATGTGCCATTTTAAATAGTTTTTTTTAAATATTGTAGCAATCGTAAAGAAAGCAGTCTAATATCTAAAATTAGACAATGTTTTGACACCTTTGAAACCGCACAGTTTTACACTGAGACTCAACCCCCGTCAAACGCCTTGTCTGCATCCACAGCAGCAACTTACTGCGAGCTTGCTGGAGTGTTTTTTTTCCTGGCTTTTCCCTCTTACGGTGCGAGTGCTGGAATTGTCGCGACTGCATAAAGGACGGTGCTGCAAATCGCAATCTTTTATATATAGAAAGCTAAGCAGAGAAAAAAAAAACTTTCAACTTGTCAGTGAGTTTTGGGTGCATGAGGGTGAAACTGACACGTGCCAGGCTACGAGAGTCAAGCCATTATTCCCTCAATGCCATTTTTTTTTTTTAGATTTTAAAAAATCTCCTATGAGGATTGAAGATGACAATGACGACAATCAAAAGGACGTATTTGGTGGTTTTCTGACGTGAGATTTTTTTCCTTTTTGCCATGGATCGACTTGCTCTTTGCCTTGTTGTGGGAGCTGTCTGTATTTTGGGAGCTGAAATAGCAAGAGCTGTCCAGGGTGCTGAAAACATCAGCCAAACCTGCAACTGCGACTGAATCAGATTGAACCAATTGCAGGTGTTTTATTATAATAATAATAATAATAATGATAATGATACTAATAATCCTTGCATTTGATACAGCGCTTTTCACGTCTCTCGACGTCTCAAAGCGCTTCGCTGAATATGCTGCTAAGTGAATTGACTGTATATATTTTGTGGGCGAAACGCGGCAGCCGATTGCGCACAGCAGTGTCCCCGCAAACAGTCGTGGATTGAAGTGACCAAGTTATTTATTTTTTTTGTTGAGGGATTATTATCAGGCGTGTGTGCGGAGTAAGGAAACTTGCCCAAGGTTTTGCCCTGCCGGGAATCGAACCCGGGTCTCTCACTTGCGAGGCGAGTGCTCTATCCACTGAGCTACAGAACTGTCACCAACAGATCTCAAAACCTCCAGGACCACACACCACACACACACAAACACACACACACACACACTGGCCTTCCATAATACACGTCCTTCATCAACTGGAAGCTGACAAAGGAACGGTCTCATTATCCGCCTCAGTGGTTTCGCCCACAAAAATATACAGTCAATTCACATTTACGGTATATTCTGTGAAGCGCTTTGAGACGTCCCGAAGAAGCGGATAAGACCCTACAGTCAAATGCAAGGATTATTATATCTTACATTGTTTATCCTATGCGTTAAAGGGAGTCCGCGAAGCAGTAGCAGTGGAGACGCTCAGGGTTTTTGAAAGGTTTGGGTTTTAGAGGAGACAGGTTTCTGGTTTCTGGTTGAATATCATGTGGGGTTTGGGTGTGACAGTCACCAGCCACTCTGCTTGGAAAGAAATGTAACCTTACATGTGTTTTTTCTTGCGAAACCCCCCCCCCAATTTTCCACCACCTGAGTGATACCAGGAGACACCAGCCAATTGCGGGCTCTTTAATACAATCGAATTGAACTGAAGGGAAGTTGTGTGTCTCAGTCTCTTTGTGGATCACAAGCTGTTGGCAATTAACTGCTGCCTTTTAAAGTCATCTCAGCCTGTGTCGTGTTAGCATCTCACTCACAGGGAAACTGAGCCCCTGGTGTGGATTTGGTCGGTGTGGTGTTACCCAAGAAAACAAGACGAGTGCAGAGGGAAGTATTAGGATGAATTCGCTGTGAGTCCAAAACCTCCAACAGGTAACACTGCAAATCAAAAAATAAAATAATATAGCAACTTTAAAATGAAGAGAGAGGGGAGAGGGGGAGGGAGATTCATTTGGAACCAGTTAAATTGGGAGGTGGAAAAAGAAACTAAAGTTCCGACATTGCCTTTCTGTAGCTGCCCAGTCAAACTGGGAACACTGAGCCATGTAATCCGGAATGAATATTGTATAACAACCCCACCTCGGGTTAGAACACCTGTTTTACTCTCTTGCTCTGTCTTTCTGATATTCTAATAGCAAGTTTGTGTGTTTGGTGTGCGGTTGGGGATTGTGAGCACCAGCCTTTGCCCCACTCTCTCCCACAGGTGTGAGCTATTTATCCCCTTCTGCTTCATATTATGGCACATTCCATGTAATAATAATAATAATAATAATCCTTGCATTTGATATAGTGCTTTTCACGAATTCTAGACGTCTCAAAGCGCTTCACAGAATATGCTGTAAAGTGAATTGACCGTATATTTGGGGGTGAAATTGCGTACAGCAGTGTCCCACAGACGGTATTACATGACAAATACATTGCAATCCCAACCCAATCCTGGATAACAAGGGGCCAAGTCTTTAACCCGTTACTTATTCGTTTGAAAGGATGATTTGCAGAACAGCAAATTGTGTGTAGATTACCTTGGCTGCCTGTCAATCCTGCTATAAATATTTGGGAGCACTTTAATTGCTCCAGAAAAGGTTGGTCCGGCTGGACTGGAATGTCTGTTTTAGATGAGCTACTCTGTCACATCGTATGCAAGAGTAAATTAGGTGTCAAACTTAACTCCGCCAAAACAAGAAGATAAGACTAACTAATTTTACTGCTGTGACCTTGTCCATTAAGCAGAGACTGTGTACAGCATTGTGAGCCTAAGTGGAACCGAAGGGAGTGAGGATGCTTGAGTTTGAAGCACTGTTGTGTTCACTAGTGCGGGAGAAATACACCTTGCACTCAGTGTTGAAATGGTCAGCCTCTTAAAGCTTTGGGTATCACTTGTGTTAGCAGTTTCCCCTTAACCAATGCTTCAACGACCCCATCCTTTCTACTGCGAGGATAGCATTTTAATAGCTTGCGGCATCCTTCAACAGCTTTGCTGAATAAACAAAGGAAAACAGTTCCAAGAATTCATTTCAAGAAGCGCCATAGCTAGCGTGAAAATATTCCCAGCTTCAGTAGGAAAGCGACATCTTAACATGTTTTTTCCCCAAAAAATGTTTTCTATGTAGTCAAATTGGTCCACAGTTCTCCCTAAACTACTAACACATTTGTGCCAGGAGTACATTCTATTCTTCACTCCTTTTTGTGTGATGTAACCCTGCTCAAACCATACAAAAAAAAGTTTGGTCAGATTTTAGAATATATTTGTGTGTGTATGTGTGCGGTGTATATATATATATATATATATATCGAAACACTGATTGTCCAGCGCCTTGGAATGTCCTCCCGATGTGAAAGACACTTTAGAAATGTAATGTTTTTACTAAGAAAGTTTGAAGAATATATCTGAGACTTGTTATTTCAATCCAATTATAATCCATTCATCAAAACTGTCAACTTGTGTGCATTGCATTTAACATGGCTTAAGGTGGATTGAATATCATGTTAAAATATATTTGTAATTTTGAGTGGGAAAAAAATTGTTTAGCTCTGGATATAACCAATCAAAATAGACACAAATATCAAAAACAGAATAAAACTACAGGCGTTTACTATTGGATGCCATCGTAGAACAGCACAGTTTTTAATAAATAATGGAAACAAAAAAGATTAAATATATACTTTTCCATTCATAGGTTGAATGAATAATTAACACTGAAGCAATGATTGGGTAACACACATAAGCTTTTGGAAACATTGATATTCCTCAATAGATCACGTGAGCTGCCTTTAACTTCTTTCCCAAAGTCAACGGCCACCCACCATCTTGAAAAATATTGTCCAAAGATGAAGAATAGTAAGCGAGGGCTTTACTAGACATTAATTGTTCAAATGTAAAGAAAATTGAAAGATCCCACAGTCCCTTCACCTCGCTCCCTCCCTTGCCTCCTTCGAGGCATGTCTCGAGACCCTCCTCTTCGACCGTGCCTTCGCCCACCCTCCTACCCTTCCTTCCCTGCTCTCCACCCCTCCCGATCCAAACCCCCAGCTCGAGTCCAAATCCCTGACTGTCGAGAGCCTTGGGATGGCTTCCTGACGTGAAAGGCACTACACAAATGTAATTTGTTGTTGTTCTTGTTTGTTTGTTGAAAGATCACAAAGGAGTTCTGCAATTTTCTAAGCAAACGAGAAGTGTTTCATGGGCTGACGAACCTGAGATTGACCTTTATCTTCACCATTCTCAGGTTAGACAGTCCTTGAGGCACCTCTCAATCCTGCCGTTCAAGGCTCTTGTCCTTCACCGTTCCTTTGGTTCTGTATCATTCATCGCAAACTACCCACCTGGAGTCAGTTAATCTTTACAGATGTCAATATGTTAAAATTGTCTAATAATAGAGAGAAATATACCTTTAAATTAGCTGGGGAACATATTGTTGCTGCATTTGGTTCCTCTTTCATTCTCCTGGGGAAAATGTTTCACAGGCGCCACAAACTTCACCAAAGTAGCCGTTATTTATGTGTAAATCTGGAGAGGATGCAATGCCAGTGTATTGGACCACTGGGGCATCACAGCCAAGTCCCAAATGAACAACTCACGCATAAATGTGCACCTGTAAAGAGCTTTACTGGAAAGAATGAGAAGCGGGAATCTGCTCTGATTTTCTGTTTCCTACTCGAGCACTGAAGGCAAGTGTCACAATTGTAGGACTGCCCCAGTTAATATTGGTTATAATAATTCTTGCATTTAATATAGTGCCTTGTCACATCTTTGAGACGTCTCAAAGCGCTTCACAGAATATACCGTAAATCACTAGATCATTTCAAAGAATAATCACTGGAGTCGGTTACATGGCATTTAGATTAGAGGGTAACAATGCAGGTGTTCATTTACTTCAATTGTAAAATGAATTGCTGTTCTGAATGTGTCTGCTGCTTAAAAGCAGTTTCTTTAACTCTGTTTGAGTATAAGGTTTTTTCCATTAATAAAAAGTCAAATCACATATACACTTAAACCCCCGACTAACCAAAGTGTGGTGGGGGGGAATCCAGTCAGTGAGCCAGAATTTCTGGCAAAGTGTAATTACAATGCCTGTACCAGCATTTACCAACGTTTTTCAATAGTAATTGTTTGAATCCCTTGAGCAGAAGAGTGAGTAATCTTTCTGAGTCCAAGTTGATATCCCTGGCTGCTGTGAAGGTGACCAAGGATGGTGAGGATGCTCAGTGTGGCATTGGCGGGGAGTTGGACTGGCGGGAATCTACATCCGTGTAAGGCCCCGGAAAGTTTTTTACAAAAAAAATAGAGCTGTCCACCTTGGTCTGGGCTAAGTTCGAATTCTGGATCCCCAGAGTCCAGTAAGCCGGGGGTTTAATGTAGTTAATAATGAATCATAGAATCAAAGAATTATACAGCACAGAAGGAGGCCATTCGGCCCATCTTGTCTGTGCTGGCTCTTTGAAAAGAGCTATACAAATTAATCCCATTCCCCCACTCTCTCCCCATAGCCCTGCAAACTTGTCCTCCCCCCAAGGAAAAGTCATCCCACCCTTTCACATCTAGAGGACATCCCAAGGCGCTGGACAATTCGGTCTAAAATCTGACCAAAGTTTTTTGTTATGGTTGGTGAACAATTTAATCCCAATTTAATCAACAGTTCTCACATTTCCTTGCACAAGGAAGCATCAAACTGGGAGCAGGAATTGAGCACCAGGGTGTTCCACATGGCGAGCAATCAGACCAACATAAGAGCAATATATTCAGTGCACAAACAGATGTACACTGTCCTGTGTGAAAGGTGCTGTTACTATTGTTAAACAGTGAAAGATTTTAAAACATCTATTAGACTAGTCTGAGTCTGTATATTAAAAAGAAACAATTTTACACAGTGCTCAGCCTTACAGGTTGGTAAGTGCTGGAGCGAGGACCTGTACTTAGGAGGTTAATACATCACGAGGTTAATACATTAGCAGATTGTCAAGAGATCCTCACCCCAGCATGTGAAGTGTCCATTAGTCACAGTATAGGTCGACTTCCATGTCTCACTGGCACAGTAAAAGAGCAACTACTCAATTTGTCACTGAAACAGATATGTTTTTAACAAAACTCCCTGTTTAAGATCAATTAATTGTATGTAAACTATGTATTAATTAAACGGATGTAAAATGAGTTGGTAACTGAGAGTACGCTATTAATTTTTTAAAAAAAATCCAGCACATTGAGGATTATTTTAACATTGAAGCAGCAGTTAATGTGAATAAAAAGTGCTGGAGTTTCTGTGCCTACATGTTTAAAAGGCTGATTATCGATAACAGCCCTCTGATAATAGATGAACTTCGACATTGCTTTAAGAGTGCCTACTTTGTAAATCAAAACACATGGCATTGCCAGCGATCAAGCCCGTCTAATTAGAACTAATTGGAACATAATTTTGTATCAGCAAAACACAAACCAGATTAAACATGTAGAGCTATATCTGTTTGCTTTTATATTCATTAGCATGAAGTATAAAGTCACATTTTTACATTTATTCCAAAATCATTATCAATCAGAAAAAGTTTTTTTTAAGCCATTTGTTTTCTAATGGTACTTCAGAATTTATGTATAATCAATTGGAGCCACACGACACAGGATAAGCTCTGGGCTTTTTGAACTCTGTGGTATTATAAAAAGCTCCATTAAAAGATCAATATTTGATAGACGCCTTGTGAAAAAAATTAAAATGTGCTCCTGTAAAAAAAAATTTAAAAAAATTCAGGATTCAAATGTTTAATGTGAGTCCATGGTGCTTTTTTTTCCAGGAGAGACATAAATCCACATTCTAAAATACTTCAATTGTACCTGCTGTCCGCATGGATTTGACCGCTAATGCTAGCCTTAACCCGAGACATCCACATTTACCACATCCTAAAACATTCAAACATTTGATGGTTAACATTATTCTGCTCTTAACGCTTATTGAGACTTTCTTTGGTTACTAGGTTTTCACTCTGTTCCGCGTATGCTGACATGGATGACTTCAGTTTAATATGTGGAGTCCTGTAACTCAGTGGTTAGAGCACTCGCCTTGCAAACGAGACACCCGAGTTCAATTCCAGGCAGGTCAGGGCGAAACCTTGGGCAAGTTTCCTGACTCCACACAGAGCCTAATAATAATCCCTCCAAAACAAAACAATAGTAAATTGGTCATTTTCAATCCACGACTGTTTGTGGGACACTGCAGTGCGCAATTGGCTGCCGCGTTTGGCCCACAAAATATATTCGGTCAATTCACTTTACAGTCTATTCTGTGAAGCACTTTGAGACGTCGAGAAGACGTGAAAAGCGCTATATCAATGCAAGGATTATTATTATGACCATAATGAAAAAAGTATTGGCTCAGTCATGAAAATAAACCCTATCTAGATGAAAGGCCTACAAATCATCTATGGTCATATCCCTATAATAAGTCGCTCCACTTTATAAATCATATAGGCATGTTGTGCCTGAAATTTATAACTCTGCATTAATTACCATTATGAATTTATGGTCTTATTCAGAAAAAAATGAATGGCATAACGTTACGTGATTGGGGTGGGGAACGAGGAACTAATGATTGTATTTTGCAAATACGTTTTGCCAAAAATATTCTGGAATTGAGTGGTAACATTCCTAGAAAAATAAAGTATCTACGACTATCTTCAGGAATAATATTCATAAATAATCGTTGCATTTGATATATAACGTGATTATGATAAACCTTGTACTGAATTTGATATTTGCGCCTTTCACATCGAGAGGATGTCTCCAAGCGCTTCACAGGATTTACCAGAAAGCGCGGTGACTCTACTTTTTCTGCGAACATGGCAGTTAATTTGTGCTCATTAGTGTCCCACAAACAACTATGAAGTGAATGACCACCAAGTCTTCCTTTGATTATTTCTGTGATAGTGAAGAGTTGCAGTATTTTTTGTTTTAAAAAAGACCGACATTAGTGTAGCAGATGACAGTGTGACCTGCCTCCACATGAGGTTTTCTGTTCCAAGCCTAAATTTAATCGAACAAAGAAACTGCAGGTGACAAAAATTGCATTAGTTTAATTGGGCTTCAATACTTGTCAAAAACCACTGACCGTTCTCAAAATTTTAAAACATTATTTGCCCGTATTGTATCTTATTGACTCGTAACTATAACTAAGAATTAAACGTTGAAGTGTAGTGCAGGAAATGCTGGGTTTAAATTTTGAAGTAAATTGCTTTACACAGAAAGTGTTTGTACAGACATCAGACAAACAGGATGCATTTATTCTTCTGTCTAAAAAGATACAATATTTAGACTTGATACTGAGATTAATTCCTTGGAGGAATTAATTAATTAATTAATTAAAGCGTTCTTTAGTCCTGTATAAAATGTTCAGGAGGAATAAGATTACATCTATATTTTTGTGCATTTTGTTCCATCAGTTTGATTTTTTTTGTTCCATTCCCTGAACAATTGGATTTAAACTTTCTTTTTTTTAAAAAAAAGTTTGCTTTTCCTAACAGTAAAAAAAATTTGCAAAACAAAGGACATTCACAGCCTTCCTAGAAAAGGATAAACTTTTTTATGAATGCAGAAATATTGCTAAAATGTGTGAGCTAAAATGTTATAATTATTAACAATTGAGCCGTACACGAGTAATACACTGCAATACATCATTTAATTTTGTCGTACTTAAATCTTAAAAAGCAATTAAATCAGCGACTAAATAAAAGGCATATTTAAACGGTATCATAAATAAGACGCTTTACCTGTTTACCTGTAACTCCTCAACACTGCATCTGTCCACTTTACATGAAAAGATTACTGGAGAGGCTATTTCACTCCTTCTATATTCCATTACAACTGCTCAGAAAGAATGAAATAAAGTTCTACATTCATACATGCACTGTGGCGCCCTTCGTATTGTGTCTCCAAAAGGCCCTGATGCTTTGAACTGGCTACTTTATAATACCACACAGCAAGTCACTTCCTGTTTATCAATTGTAGTATGGCTTGTGGTAAATTTTCCATTACACCCAAGGACGTGAGTTGACTCATTTTTCACTCTTTTTTTCTTAATGCAATTAATTAAAAGTAGAATCCTTAGGCTGCAACTAATAAAGCTCGAATTACGGTATTAATTAATTCATTCATTCATCAATCAATCAGAAGAAAACCAATGTTTCGGTGCTGAAACGTACTTGTCAAATAACTGCGACATCGATATTATAATACATGCAGCATATATATAAATAAAAGTCAAGCAAACTCTCATGCAATAAAGTCTAACTTTAACTGCAGTAGGATTCCCCTACAATGTTGCTTAGAGATAGTGACATACCTGTAGTTAAATTTATTCCCTAGATATACACAGATGCATTTCATTTTAACTTGTGGTAAATTGGCACCACAGCCTGATCAATTGTGACACGAAGTCAGGTATCCCAATATTAAAACGATAAATGTTGGTGAGACTGAATAAATGAATGTTGGAAGAGTAGCCTGGATTAAAGCAAGAATGGTGCAATTATGGAAACTGATCACAGATATCACAAGTTTCCAAGTTGTGACTTGAACCACAGTATCCTTCCTGTCTTTTGCTCTGAAAGAAATCTTTAACTATTTGTCAAGTGAAATAAGTTTACTCTGTAGACAAACAGGAGGTACTTAGGCATTTAAGTTTAATGGCGCGTTTGCAAAGACCCCTCGTAAGTGTAAATTACAACAATATGCAGAGTCCCTATCCCAATATCCCAGAAGAAACCATCCCATTAAATTACTGGACCATCATCATTGACAATGGCCTACTTGGAAAAGGCTTGTATTTTTAAAAGCTTTCCAGAGTTTAGATCGTAGCGGTTAAATAATGATTTGACGTTAAAAATTTTTGCAATGTCAGTATTTTCGTACGGCTAAGATAATAGTAAAACTATTTGTGTAGGTACATCTGCCAACCAAGGACTGCTGGCAAACATGAGATATTAGTCATGGAGGCTATATATGGGAATGAGTGACTTGTGGAAAATAAGCTTGCTGCTCTCTTCTGGCCACAAAACTCATGAGTATTTTTTGATGATCAGGATCAGGACCTAGATAAAGCTTTGAGGCCCACAGTGCAGTGCATCACCAAGCTTGTAATGACAATCAGGGAAGGAATTAAGATACATGCTCCAATATTTAGTCTTAAAAGTTTGTAGGTTGTACTTGAGGAGGGAGGACTGAAGGATGTAAAGAGTTCTATTCTCATGAAGTCCTGGGAGATCGTGAGGTTGACTTGGACAGTGCAATTTGCACACAGCAATGTCCAACAAACAGCCTTGAAGTCAATGACTAATTTTATCTGGGGGTGTTTGTTAGCCAGGATACCTGGCGAAACTCCCTCGTCTTTTCAAATAGTGCCGTGGGATCTTTAATATTCACTCGTACAGGCAGATAGGACCTCGGTCTAATGTCTCAACCGAAGGCCGGCACCACCAACAATGTAGCCCGCTCCCTGCTCTAGGGCTTCAGCCTATACTATAACTCATATAGTAACACAAGGCTCGAACACACAACCTTCTTACTCACAGATAAGATTGTGTACTCAGGTGGGCTGAGTTGATATGTAATATAGAGTTGTTCATATTTAGAAGTAAATTTGACATAGTTACTGGCATTCTCGTTCCCTGTGTTTAAGGGCAGTGTGTTCAAGTCTTATGTTGGGATTCGAGAATATATTTTAGGCTGATGAAATATTCAGGAGGTATTGCATTGTTGGAAGTGTTTGCCTGCATTATTGGTGGCGCTTTCTTTCCTATGTGAAATCTTGCAATGTGTAAAATGGCCGTCACATTTGCCTACCAAAACAGTCACTACACCCGCAGCAAATGTCTCGCTGCCAGATATTTTGCTATGATGTAACACCACAAAAAAGTTCTTTCTTCAAACTGGAGGCCAGTCCTTTTCAAGAATAATAATAATAATTTTCAAGAATGAATTAAAATGAATAGTTAGCAATCTTTCAATATTATACAACGTACTAAAACCCCTTTAATAACCAACTACATAATCTACTCCGCAATATGCTGCTTGTTTTACCACCGCACCGTAGCACAGTTCATCAGACTTAATTAACTCTGGTTTCCTCATGCAGTTGAACAGATTAATAAAAGAACATAACCAATTTGCATGTTTAATGAACAAAATGAAGACTAAAAACCGGCTTTGCTGCAGTCCATTTGCTACAGACTATTGTGTTAAATAAGGCTGAGCAGCAATATCTCAATACTATAAATAGGCATTACTATTGATGGCAAAACATTATGGAAACATTTTTAAAACAAGAAACAAACGATACGATGATCTATTCCCAATATATAGTGAAAATCTGATGGACTCACCTGCTTCAAAGTATAGCTGTACGTGCAGGTTCTATTTTGTTTCTTTCGTTTTATGATAGCTGTTAGATCTAGCCTTCGGAAAAACTTAATAGGAAACGGGTCTATTTGTAGGGTTCTGTGTTGGTTTACGATACAATTTTCCACGAAGCTCATTAAGTCTTGGTAAGGTATAATCTCATGAACAGTCTCATCAAATCAGAAAAGTGGCATAAAACCATGCAAAAGAGAAAGATCGAAATTCTACATATGCAATTTGCTCTTGCTTTATCAAAGCTTCCTGTCAATCAAGCCTCTGTGTTAACTTGATGCTATTTTCCACCTTCCAAAAATAATTTCCATTCGGTTTTTATACACACAATTGCTAGAATTTTAGCTACAAGCCGACATTGTTTTCCTCCTCCTTTTATGCTTCAATCTGTTAGATGGCCTATAAACGACAGGACACGATAATGAAATGGGTTGATCACACATTGTTTAACACAGTATTTAAATTATGGGCTTGTGATAGGGGCCAAGGCTATCATTTTTGCTGCTAAATGAGAGCAAGCTTGTGCATTGTAATTAAACATATTGCAAACAGACTCCAATCTGCTTAGAAGTGCATTTAATATCTTTTAAGGCATTTCTGTGAAACACCAATGTCTGCAGACAAGGAGGGTGTGTATTATCTGATGTCCTTTGGTGATGGTTTCACAAGAAAACCTTTATGTTCCATAGATTTATCATAGTCATGATTATGCTTTCATCAGTGATTTCTCTCTGAAACTCTGTCCAGCTTTCAAAAACATCAACGAAAGGCCTTGCAGGTACTGTGGATATTAATCAGCTACTGCTTATACATTTTTAACCATTTTAATACAGTAAAATCTGGGATGTTGTGTGAAACTATGGATTAGTGATGTGCACTGCACCAAAGTGACCTTGAATGGTTTTAACAAATTCTGATGTAATAATTCGTGCATTTGATATTGTGCCTAATCAACTCATCAAAATGTCCCAAAGCGCTTCACAGGATTTTACTGTAATGTGTAAAGACTCTGTATTTGTAGGCGAATATGTGTGTCTCAAAATGTAAGTATTTTTAAGGGATTTGTTTAATTTAATACTGTTAAAGTGCTGGTCACCCAGCAAAGTTTAGTACTTGTTAACACAGCCCTCCATGGTAGGGTACATATGTAAAGCTGTCCTCAGGCTCCAGGCAATAGGTTTTGGAGCAGGAAATACTGTATAAATCAGTTTAATCTCCTAATTGCTCTTCTGTCCAAAGCAATGACCACTGGCTTTCAGCAGTATAAACTCGCCAGCAGAAGGCAAGATAGCTCAAAACACAAATAAACATCCAGCAGATGAGGAAACATGATTCGACAGAAAAAACCCAATACATTAACACTATTAGATGCAAAAAAAACCCAAAATATAATCACATTTAACCAATTTATTAAGAAACACACACTCAATTTTACAAACAACAGGAGTAGCATACAAAGAGTACACAAAACTGTGAAATAACAGGAAAAATAAGTAATAAAGCAGGACAATAACAGACAACTCAATTTTTCAGGTGCTACTGGAGAAAATAACTGCTCATCACAGTTAATTTCACAACCCTGTCCTTTCAGTTTCCTCAAACAATACTAACTTTAGACAATTTATACAAGGCTAAATGTCTTCTATAGCATGTTTATCAGTCTCTGCTTAAGTTCTCAAAGCATCCATTTTTCTAGTTGGCATTTTATTACTCATTTAATATTATACTCGTTGTATACCTTAAAGTATTGTGTTTAAATTCTATCCTACATTTTCATCTTATGGCTAATCCGGTCAAAGAAATAAAACCTAATACAAATGCTGTGCTGAAACCTTTCTGCGCTTCCTTCCTTATCTGACATTTGTTTAAGGTAATTAAATATATCTGCAAAATGCTTATACCAATGAAAAGTTTTCAAATGTATGTAAAATTCTCCAGCTCTATGAAATAACTTAAACTTAAGTACACTTAGAAGATATCTCTGAATTCTCTCAGTTGAATTTTCTTCTATTTTAGCCTGCGGAAACAGGGACAATTATTATTATAATAATAACCCTTGCATTTTATACATCATGCACTTGATGATCATGTCATCAAGACGTCTCAAAGCGTTTCACAGGATTTTACCGTTAAATGTAAGGACTATTTCGTAGGCGATTGCTGCTTGCTTCTTGACTACGATTATTCAATTTAGCACAAACTAGGGATAAAATCTACTTGAGACTGTATGTCCACTGTAATATGTAACCTCTCAGCTATTGAATGAGTTTAACTCCCATCAATTGCATATATGTTTTGAGTATGTGCATTTAGACATGTTATTTTGTGTTTCGTATAATTTAATGTATTATTTCTAATTGTATTGCATAATACTGAGCAGCTATCTTAAGTAAGTTAAATGAAAAACTATGCATTTTGGAAATAATTGTGTTCAGTAATCATGCGGGATAAAATAGATGTAATCAGTCTAACTGTAAGCATAAACTAGTGCTTATTGACCATTAAACTGATCCATTGTGATATCCATTGTGATATCCACTTTGGATACACGCCAGTAATCAGGGCAACTCATCATTCAAGCTTTTTTTTTCCATTTGAAACTGATGGGGGCAAAAATAATAGTCTCTGAGTGTCTTTAATAGTGAGTTTCCCTTGAACAGAGAATAATGGATGGCCAGGGGGAATGAGAAAGGAGTTACCTACTGAACAATTGGTGTAATAGTCTGTGAGAGCAATGCTCAGTACTTGATAACTGCCATCTGGAATCCAAGGTAATGTTGCCTTGAAATCACTCTCATATAGCCGTCGTTTTAGATTATACATCATGTAATTTAGCAGGTACAATTTTATCCCATTTGTGCTTTTTTGTCAGTGTCGGTGTAATGGATGGCCATTTAATGGTGATTGACTGTGATAGAATTACTATGAATGGATTACTGTCAATCTAGAGTGGATTACAAGGAAATAACACCTTGTATCATGATAAGAGAATGGCGAGGGAGTACACCAGACACATTGTCATACCTTCATAGAACAATTGCTGCTAAAAAGGTAAGATGCTATCAGCATACATTAATTCAACTAGTTTCGCACGCAGGGGCTACATGAATGTAATGTGTACACTCTGACAGAACAAAAATGTTTCAAAACACAACTGGTTTGAAAAGACAAACATTTTAATGTGCACATCCCAACTTTAAACGTGTTCCAAATGCATCAGTTGGACACAGAATAATATGTTCAGCTTCTATAGTCTGCTATGAAAGAACTTTAGCGATGAAGTTCTGAACATACTGAGTGAGGAAAATACGTACAAACAAAAGTACACAGCTGCATTGCATCAATCCCACTTTAATTCTCACAACACATATTAACAATTAATGAACTCTAACAATTCTTTCAAGCGGTTATGTGTTCATCAATTTGATGGGGTTAAAAAAAGTCAAACCTGGTGTATCGCAGACAGGCTGCAACCAAACAATGATTTTTTTTTCACGAACCTTTGTCTCTATGGTAACAGTACTTACATTATTTATACCAAAACAGAATGCTAAACAGCATACACAAACGTTAGCTTCCCGACAGGGGAGCAACACTTAAACAATGTGCAAGTTTTTCTATCTTCTTTGGGTTTCTCATTAGAAGCTATCTTACATCAATCACACAGTCAACGCTGCAGAACTGGTACCACCTTTCATGTTCTCAAATCAGCTGCTTATTTTGTACAGAAATCTTTGTCTTTGAAGACAGAAATTACTGACGAATGCCTCTTTAATGAGACCAGAATTTTCCAAATAAAATTAACAAATTTGTTTGGCAGATTAATATAGAACAATTGAATATAATGTATCAAAAGATATTTTTCACATTGTTTGAAGGACCAGATGCAAAATATACTCTCAGTGAACAGTGCAATCAGATGATTGGTAATATAACAGTGCAATCTCAGGATTTAAATATATACACACAATTAAATATTATCAATGGCATTCATCATCATAAATTAGAACACAGCCATCATATTTTATATAGAATACTACACATAAACATCAGGCTTCTGTTCCTGAATGCAAACTACAACCTTTGCAGTACTACAGGAAAATAAGTGATTTATTTGTGCTGCGAGTACAATATGAAATATATTTTGTGTTAATTTCATGTGTCTGACACTTTTTTCTAATTGTTTGCAAATTAAGGTATGTTTTTTTCTTAATTCTCAGTAACTTGCATTTATATAGCCCCTCCACGCAGGGTAGTGGTAATTCAAAACCTCTTTCCCCTTTCCCCCCAACTCCCACGTATACTCACCCCCTCTAAACTCTGTACCCCCATCACACTAATCCTCGCCAGACTCCACTAGCTCCCTATCAGAGAATGGATCGACTTCCAAGATCCTTACACTTGTCCACAAATCCCTTTGTGCCCTGGCGTCTCTCTAGCACTCCGACCTGCCCTTTTCTCCATTCTACCACCTGCCTCCTCCTCTCGGCTGGATCAGGCCTTCTGCTTGCCCCTCGTACTCTCCTCCCCATTGTTGGTGGCTCGGCTTTTAGCCACTACGCCCGAAACTTTGGAACTCTCTCCCTCAAGCCCTCCGCCTGGCCCCCCTCCTTTTCAGATTTTCAGATCATGCCTAAAGACCGTCCTCTTCAACCGTGCCTACCGTCAACTCCTTCCTGCCCCTGGCTCGGCATCGAGCTCCACCAATGTTAAGCGCTCTGAGACTACCCCACGAGAAGGATGCTATATGAATGCAAGTTGTTGTTATTGCTTACAGTGCAGAGATTTACCAGGATATTGTTGTGCAACAAAAAGTAACAGTATTTCCTAATTCAGAACCACTGATGTGGAGTAAAAATAACTGATCAATCGCATTAGATATACATTCTGTAGTTTAAATGTAACATAATATGCAATGCCTTTTTTTCCAATGCAAGTATTTTGCTACACCGCAAACTGTGGAAGAATTGTAGGCTGTAGCTTTTGTAGAAAAAATAACTACACAATAAATTGAGGTAGTTCAAAATATTTTTCAATAAATAAAAAGATTGATCCAAAGCAGAAACTTTGAAAGCTTACACAGATAGATAGATATTACTAAATTAGAACAAACCTATTGGCAAGAATTTAGTTGTGTTGCTTTCCTTTCAATGTCACCAAAAACATTAATTTGTGGACACCATGAATCAGGAATAAATTTTGTGCTTTTGAAATGGTGACGCACGGAATATTCAAATCAGAATGAATGTCACACCCAAATACTGCACCTTAAATAATGCTTGTTATAAACATCTGAAGCACAATTAAATGGATTGTCATTTTTGACAAACATCAGTAAGTAGTCATCCTTTTGCAAGGTAGACAAATCAGTCTGTGTAACATGCATGACTTCCCATAGCATACTTCTACAACACAGCACTATTATATCTGCTATAAAGCTCCTTCTCAATAATTCTGATGTAACAAACACAAAGATTTTTACTGTATTTAAAAGTACACCAAATTGTCTTAATTATAATAGGATCAGCCAGAGGAGTTATTTTAGAGTCTATGCATTATATGGTATTGGTAGGGTAAATATAATCTGATTATAATCTCCCTTGTAATAGATTATGGGTAATGTTTCTATAGCCAATAAGAAGTGTCCAGCTATAAATGGGATTTAAGTAAGGAAAATTATGGTACTCTAATACCATGTTAATATTCAGGGGGAGTCTGTTTTAAAACCCTTTGGTATAACGTGGCCTCAATTAAAGCTCTAGAGCCCTCTGGACCAGTGATGGTCTAAAGGATATTTGCCTCAAACACCACTGATTTGCAATGTACCTACACTAATTGATTTTTCTCATGAAAATACTACAATAAATGGGGGTGAGTTAATTTTGAATGGAGTGCCCTCTGTCAAGCTCAACATTTATGATCCTGTTAATATCAACAGGCCAAAGGGCACTAAAAATCACTGAAGACTAATATCACAATGACACCAATTCTTAATGGCTGTTCATTATAATAGAAGTAAATTCTTTAAATAGTTGTAACGTGATTTAGAGTGCTTAAATATTTGTTTACATAATCTTACATTCTGCTAATTAAAAATCCTTCGGATTGTCAAACAAATAAAAAATGACATTTTTCAAAATATTTTCAGGGTTTTTTGCTGTAGGTCAATTTTGTTACTTAAAAAAAAAATTCTATTCTATTATTTTGTTCTAGGCCACTCTTAACTACACAGTAGTAGGTACAACAGCCACCAAAATCTTGATGGGAAATGAGCCAGGTATTACTCTGAACAAAGATGTCATCTATGATGGTCACAGGTTGGATGGATCTGCCTGGAATTACAGTCGTGCTGAAACACCAGGATAAATCACAAGTCTCTGCTGTCATCCTCTTCACACCAGTCTGCAGGGGCATCAGTTCCAAAGTAACGATCTCCAAAGTTTCCTGAAGTGACAATAACATGCGATGAAATCATATCCTGAAATCCACCTGAATATCAAATTAAACGTGAGTGCAAGACAACCAGTTCTTTCCCTTATCTATTTGTTCCAAAGCTTTTCAATGGCATGAGGTTTGGGTGATACAGTTGTTACCTAGCCAATACTCTCCCAAAATAACATTGGCCACTCACTCCATGGCCTATTGTGGGACACTGCTGTGCGCAACTGGCTGACGCGTTTCACCCACAAAATACAGTCAATCTTGTGAAACGCTTTGAGATGTCTTAACGATGTGATAAGGCGCTATATCTAATGCAACGATTACTATTACCTACCAATGCCAGGGATAATGTGGAACAAATCATTGACTTTCTTGTCTACTGCAGTGGTAATAATTCTCACTTGGGGGAAGGCGTACGCCACGGAATGTACCCCCATCTCGGCCATCAAAAGAGACACAAGGAATATTTTATCTTCTTGGACATCGTGATCCTGCAGAAGAACGACAAGTATCAAGACCACATCAGATGGAAACAAATTGTGAAATTCTGTGCTTTTGGCAATACAGTTAGAGGGCTTTAAGGCTGTTCCAAAGTATTTTAAGTAAATACGCAAGCATCAAAGAGTCTGAACTGCAAGTATTGGAATACATTTGTCCTAATACCATCCATTTAGAAGATTATGCAACACATCAGTTGCAAGAATACTGGGACTTGGGTAACTTGAACCGAGGGACAAACAGCAACAGCTGTCTTTTCTGGTATTACCCATTGGACAATGGACCTGTTTTTCCTGGTATTACACATTGGGCAAATGTTATAGAGTAAATCAGTTTCAAGAACTAGAACCCAGGGACAATCAGGACGTCAGTGGCACGTACAGAGGTCAAATTCTTGACAGTTACATCTTGGGTCTTACGAATAGATAGATGGTGTGACCAGGAATGTATTGCAAAAGGTAGAAGGACTCTGTCCTTACTTAAATACAGACTACTTCCAGAGATGGTAATTAGTGGAGTCTGTTCTCAGAAGAGAGCAAAAATAAATGACCGTGTTCAATTCAGTCATATTTTTGATTGGAAGTGAGCGTATTTGGATGACTAGTGGATAATAATTTAATTGACAATATAGAGTGCTCTGTCCAATTCAAATAAATGTCAGAAACACATCACTGTTACAGGTAAAGAAATGGACTTCACTATACCAAGTTTAGGGGTTTATCTTTCCAAGGTAATTAAAATCTCTTCTTCAACCCAGTGAGGATTCAAAGAATTTCTGACCCTTAAAAACCTCAGACACCCTAATTCAGAAACGTTTGTCATTTTATAATCTTCAGCATTAGTATTCCAGGCATTCCTTTCTATGGACACGTTCTAGTGGTTTCAGTGCCAGTATGAACAGCAGATGTTGATGATTTTACTCCAGCACGTTGTCAAGTGTAGAAAAGAGTACAATTTAAAAGACTTAAATGCGACTGATTTTTAAAAAAAAATCTCTCCATGATCAAAGATGCTCTGCTATGAAAAGAGATTGGCTGCCACTTTGCTTTCAAATGCAAGCGTGACAACACTTTACAGAAAACTATGAAGTGCTTTGAGATGTTCCAATGTGATAATAATAATCCTTACATTTTATTTTATCTGGAACAAGCTCTCTGGGACCCCACCCTGCGTGAGGGCCACTATTTAAATGCAAGTTGTCGTTGAACAATCTTAAAAGCACTAAATCTTACCAGTAACACGCGGATTGCCATCAAAGCAGCAGCTCCTGTGGAGACTGTACAATCCATTAAAATAACATGATCCTCACTAATATCCTTGGGCAGTCTCAGGTAATGAAGCTGTTAATTGAAGGACATGTTTGTATTAGTATTGGCACAATAGTTTACAGATAAATTGAAACACGGGGGAGAAAGCAGAGTGACATTGATTTATTCAATTCTAATCTGGATCTTTACAGTCAAAGAGCAGCAATTATACCTCGGGTTCCCCTGTACTGTGGTTGGTTTGGATTAAGATTTTGCCAATCCTCACGTCTTTGCACACAGCTCTCAACGCCGGCTCCATGGTTTCTCCCGCTCTTAGAATGGACACTCCTGTGATCTTTGGGAAAAATAAAAGGTGCATATTACATTGGGAGAGGCTAATATGTTTCTGCACATATAGCAATAAGGATTCATCATTTTTATTCGATGCTTTTAGAAAGGTGAGGTTATAAATCTAAGAAAGGCCTGTTGCTTTTCATGTTGAAATTGCACTTACTCTCTTCCCGTCAAATCCTCTCCCTTCATAATCTTCACCCTGCGGGGTCTGGACTGTGCATGTCTGTCCAAAACAGAAGGGAACAGTTTGCTCATTAGTATGTTTTACATCCTATCATACTGTCCTGGTTTCATAACATCAACCCACAATTATTCACAGGTCACAAAATACACACATCACTAATAGACAAGTGATTCTGACCAGATCTGTTCTGCTGTGCATTGGCTCAATTTTGCCCAAACTGAGTCTCAGCAAATCAGTATAGAACTAAGGTGTGTGTAGATGTAAGAGTGCAGTTCATAAAATGCAACTATAAAATTGGGCCAAGTATCAAATAGCTGTTCAATTTTCACAAGCACCTTGAACTGAGTTCATTCACTAAGTTCCACTGATGTATCTGAAGAGTCAGCTTTTGCCATCAGGATTCATTTTGCTCCAGCATTTTGCTGGAATGCAACTTTGAAGATGTAACTATAAAAGTATATTTTTATTGCTGCTGTTACACTGCCAATATACGTGTAACTCAAGACACCAAATTGATGGTATAATGATTGAATCATACTGAACCACCAAGAATCAGACTAAATGTAAGTGCCTTCAGGCAAACTCTTAAAAAGTGAATTGGTCTGCACACTTATCGCAACAGCTGAAGAGAAGCAATATCACTAAACTCAGCTCAACCTAATTACCAGTAAGCACAAGTATTGGGTGAATGCCAACCGAGAACAACATTGAGTCAGAATGAAGGCATGATGAAATGAAAGGAATGGAAGCTTGGAACTCGCTGCCAAGTCGAGGAATCCCAATGACATCAGACAGAGAGAAGACCACTGGGGGCTGCCGGATAAACCAGATGTTTCCATTTCCTGCAAAAGTGGAGCACCAATGGCTCTGGAATCCTGATTCATATACACACTCTAAGCTTAGTTATCCTAAACACACATAACTTGTATAATTGTATTGCTTACCCTGAAAGGCAACAATGAAAGTGCATATTCGATCAACAGCCTCATCAGTCTCTTGGAATAGAAGATAAATTCATCTCGACTCGTGTCTCTATTTCTGTAAGAGAGGGTAGCGTTAATGATGAAGGACTACCTTTATAAATGTGCATTGCTACTATTAAACCAAAGTTACCCCTTATGAAATAAAGTTCACTGTAAAAAAAAGATTCAGTTTCATGGAGTGGATACCGAATTATTCAATTATCAGTGATCACACCGGTATAATTTTGTCTTCATCGTATCAGTAATCCAGCTTTGTTGCAGCCATTTAAAATGTCATATTTTTAAAACCAAATTTATCAATAATTTTAAAAAAATCTAATTTATCAACAGAATATTCTTATGACAGAAATAATGATTTATTTTAAAACAACAATTACATTAGAATGTTTCAATTTACAAATCGCTGAAGATATATCCCGTGAAGGGCTTTGAGACATCTCAATGACGTGACAAGGCGTTATATCAAATGCAAGGATTATTGTTATTAATTATTATTATTGTAGAACAATGCCAAACAGGCTATTGGAGACAGTACCTAATGAATGTGTGCATTCCTTGTACCTGCGGAGTGCTCTTCAGTACACTCAGTGTCTCCGGCAGTGGTTGTGCTTGGTGAGCAGATGCTAAAGTTGCCCTACAGCAATACAGCAGGAAAATAAAATTCAGACAGTGAACTCCTGAATAGGCAAACGTGAAACCATATGATGGTCTACACACTTCTGTTTGCTTTTTCAGAATAAGCTGATATAATAAAGAAATAGCAGGGAATAGAATCTCCAATCAGTTTTACCATTCCCATGAAACAAACCTTTGTGTTTCAATAAAGATTTAAAGCTTATTGCTATTGGTTGACAAAGATTGTCACAATTTTGAGGTGTTAAATAAAACACTGATTTTTTTGGGGGGATATTTAAAGAGCAAACAGATTGTATGTGCTAACCCAAATAACTAAAAGCATACCAGCAGCATTTGAATGGGTGCATTTATTTATTAGTGGCTGATTATTGTTAGTTTTACAATATCCACAGGCTCATGGAAAAAGCAGATTTTACTCCTCGGACAAGTCAGAAATATAGTACAAATTGATGAATGAAAGAATAGGTTTCCAAAACTATGCAAATCAGCACTTTATTTTTATGCTGGGAGTTCTGGAGGGGGTCGGGGAGCAGGTAGGGAGTTCCCTGACATGGTTGGTGTTTGTAAGGGGGACAGCATTCCAGATCACTGAACATTAATGCCATCAGTCACCTTACACAAAATGCTGAGCAGTGATGCACATTTGGTCTTGGCCGAATGCCTTAGAAGCTCTGGTTACTGACGGGCACCATTCACCCACTAAAACACTAATAGGTTATACAGGGCCTTTGTGGAATGGTTTGTTTTTGAGATCTGGCTTTTTAAATGATTTTTTTTTTTGGCATGAGAAGGTATGAAACTGCAACAGGTTCCTCAGTTTAAAGTCACATGGCATCAACATCAAACAAATGTTTGCTTCCAAACCAGCTACTCCCTTTATTCTTTAATCTGAGGCACGTTATCTTTACTCCCGGACAAGAGAGTACGTTTTGTTTGAGCTAGACATTACTAACCGCTTAGCAACAGACAAAAAGTTCTGTCGTTACACGTAGGGTTGTGATCCCATGTAACTAGGCCGTACCCACTTCACCATCACTGACATTCAGTCACTATATACACTGTAGGTCTGCTGTCAAATACAACACACTCCCATTAAACAAATCTTATCATTACCACAACACTATGTCCAATAAAATATTAGATCGTTACAAATAAGGTCTCGGAGTTCATTTATTTGATCTCCACTGCACTCCCATCAACAAGCGTTCAAACATTTAATCTTTTGGAAACAGAAAGCACCAAAAGTACTTCTGATGTGGTTTCAGTAAGGCCAGATAATATTAAAATCACTTCTTGAAATTTGTGTCACACCCTGAGCTATACACTCCAAAATGATGTTCCTTTTCTTGACTATCTTGGAATACTGCACCAATGGTTTCAGAGACCAGTCCACCAAAATTCCCAGTGCCCTGGCCAACAATCCCCCAAATAAGTCATTCACTTCATGGCTGTATTCAAATCAGCTTACAAAATACAGTCACTACACTTTAGAGTAAATCCTGTGAAGCACTTTGGTATGTCCTCTTGATATAAAAAGCACTATACCAAATGCAAGGATTATTATGAAATTGACTGAGCCTCTACAGGGTGTATTCGACAGCTACTTTAGCTAAAATATTTAGTAAAGGTAACTGACTGAATGGTCTGGGTATAAATGAGAAAGGGTTTTGGATCTTAATTTTCATTCAATCTGTTTCACTTTTATTGTAGCTGGAAGTGATGTCCTTATGAAAAAAAAGCCGTTAATTGATAGATGGCTATCAACTCCACTGTCAGTTGATTGTTGAAAATTCAAGTGCAAATAAAGAGGTATATTTGGCCTTGTGGTTACAGCTAGCTCGCCTACGCAGCCCCTACCTGCAATTTAAAATCTGCAAAGACTCTGCTTTTTTCTAATTTACATTTCTTCTTGGGGAAAGGAAGGAAACGTATTTATGAAAGAGTAAACAGAATTGCAATTACTTCAAGGCTTCAGATGGCTAAAAGCTTGCCTATCAATGGTGGGGCAGATTGGGAGGGACATGAAGCAGACCAGTACTTGCTAAGCAGAGTGCATGGCCAGGGCAGTAGGATTGCACAGATGGGTGCGGCGAGATCATGAAGGCATCTGAAAGTGAGGACGAGGATCTGGGTGCTGTACTAGATTATCCCAGGGGTAATGATTGTATAGGTCGTGAGTCCTTTCGCCAGGAGCCCTGTTGAGCAATGATGCCAATAGGGTACCTTTAATTGCCATTTTGTGAACTACAGATGTGAATGCTGACATGCCTGGGTTACTGATCATAAAGCCAATTATTAATGGGGAAAAAATCCATCAACCCTAAAAAAGCTGCTGATAGGCCTCAGAGTCTTATTGTGCCCAGACAGGGTTAAGAACATAAGAATTAGGAGCAGGAGTAGGCCATTCGGCCCCTCGAGCCTGCCCCGCCATTCGATAAGGTCATGGTAACTCTAATTACCTGCCCTATCCCCATATCTCCTAATGCCTCGGTTTTTTAAAAATATATCAGTCTCAGCCTTGAAGATGTTCAAGGACTGAGCATCTACAGCCTTCTGTGGTAGTGAATTCCATAAATTCACTACCTTCTGAGTGAAGAAATGTTTCCTCAACTCTGTTCTAAAAGGCTGACCCTTAATTTTAAGACTGTGACTCTTGGTTATACATTCTCCTACCAGGGAAAACAGACCCTCAGTGTCTACTTTATCCAGCCCTTTAAGAATCTTATATGTTTCAATAAGATCTCCCCTAATTCTTCTGTACTCTAGAGACTATAGCCCTAGTTTATTCAGCCTATCCTCATCTCAGTCCCCTCATCCCAGGAACTAACTTAGTGCACCCCTTCTAGGGCAAGTATGTCCTTTTTTAAATAAGGAGACCAAAACTGCACACAATACTCTAGGTGTGGTCACACCAAGGCCCGAAGTTGTGTATCCCCAGGGACACCCACAGCTCCTTTTAAAACAATAATATTTCTGTGCAAAATGTGGTATGTGCTATAATAATTCTAAAGGCTATCTACCATTCCCAGTATACTTTAGTCCTAATCCAAGCAAAGTAGTCTTCTGGCCGGGATCATACAACATAAACATTCAACATACATAAAGTAAGAAGATATCAGCTGTATATTATGTTAGGACAGTGTTTTATGATAAATGAGGGGTGATTTGTTAATCAGTAGGAATGATTGGGGTAATGAATTAATTTAGCAGAAGCAGAATAATCAGTTATAATTTGCCGGTTTGTATCAATCCCAAAAAATATTTTGATTCAAGCATACATCTCGAGACAGAACATCAGAGTTCAAAGCTTTAGATCAGACAAGGTTAAATCAGTTCGTGCTCGAATGAGGCTACTGAGCCAGTCACCTCTCGGACATGCTAGTGTCACATCTCCGGTTGCTTTCGTCACTCGGCTAAGAGCTAAAATGAGCAGATCAAGCCAATAGCTAAGCCACAGTTGTCCATTTGGCATTAAACTATGGACTGATAATTACATGCCACAGGAATGTGCCCGGACCGTTATAATATCAAAACGATTTACTAATGGTTACCAGTTGTGTAGTTCTTGTGTACCAGTTCACATTAACCCAAAGCAGAAAGCAGCCTGAGCGAAAAAAAATTACTGAAACGATTAACCCTTTCCGTAGGAATCGGCCCAAATGGCCATACAATTTCCAGTAAAGAGAATGGAAATTGAGGAAATTCTTTAGAGCAAGGGTTAAGGTCATTTAATCAAATTAGCCTTCGGTTCAAAAAAAATTCAGATTACGGGGTGATTGCACTAAGAGCAAATTATAAAAATAATTGTAAGCAGCTTATTAGTTTCTTTTGTTCTAGAACTGCCACACACAGGCTTCAAATGCAAAAAAAAACATCTAAAAGGAAAATTAAGGAAGTATGCAAATTCTCCTCACATATCCCAGCGCAGTTTCCTCTGTTCAGATGCGTATAATATTCGGGGCAGGACAACGAAGGAAATACATATCGGCCAAGAGAGAAGAAATTTCAGTTCATTAATGGCTAACAGCGATAAGAAGAGGCATAAATGCCCACAATGTGCGACATTAGGATGTTACAAAGCCAAGTGGAAGTTTCAATTCCTGTTGAATACTTCTGTGTTAATGTGACTTAATTTTGGGGAAAAAAATCACATATTATAAAGCACAAGTAAAAACAATTTCTATTGAAAGTTTATATTTCTTTCGGAGCCAAAAATAGTTCCTTTCAATTTTTTTCGTTGTGTATTTTTAACCTGTCAGACAGGATAGGAAGGTTCTAGTGAAGAACACGGCTTGTAAAATTCCATGTCACACACTGTAGATACCAAACTTCACAATAAAGACTGAGCCCTCTAAGCTTCCTGTGTCTCAAGTTAATTTCCTGTCACAGCTCACTTGTGGCTGACCATCAGTGGAAAGTTAACTTTTAATAAGTGCAATGTTGAATAATCTAAAATCTTGGAAACTACTTATCTGATTAGCAAGGGTCGACTTATATTTTGTACAATTGCTTAACTCGCTGACTCAAACGGACCCAGAAAGTTAGAGGGCCGCATATAGGTAACAAACAACCGATAGCAACTGACGTCGGGGAGACAGTTTGAATACTCACCTTGCTCTGCCACTTACACATTTAAGAGCGGAGTGTGTACACTGTTTAAAAAGAGATCGGGTCTCCTTTGAAATAATTCACAATCATAAATACACAACTGCATGAAACAAATCGCTTCCAAAATTGAAGGAGGGGAGGTTAGAAGCGACGTCAAGGAGTCCTTGTGTGTCAAAGCAAGGACCAGTATTCACAGTGCCTCTTGCCAGTTGCAGTACAGGGCATACTCTTACCATTCTTTTTATCATACCTTACATTGAGTTCACGCTGAGGTGATTATAGTAACAATTCGTTCAGGGTTAAGCAAGTATTTTCAATACCACATACAAGAGAAGGAAAAAGAAACGTAAAAAAAGAACAATTCATTTGTGCGTTTGTACATTTGGGCTGCAGCTCTTAATCATCAACAGTTAATACCGTTTCTGACATCTTTGCTCTGTAGAAACATCATTCCCATTTTTGTGACTTTTGTTTCTTTTTAAAAAAAAGTCTGCTCCACTGAAGAAAAATTGACCTAAAGAAAATGCAAGAAAAGATCCTTCGCTCCGAGAAGCAACAGATGAAGTGAGAAGACAATGTGCGGCCTTTGAAAAGTCTGCTTCGTGGAAAAACCCTGAAAAACACTTTAACCCTTCAAATACTGAATGTCTTCAATATTCCTCTTTTCTTATCATGCGTTTGCAAGAATTCCTCTATAAATTCGAATGTAGAAATTACAGAATTGTGCAGAGCACTGCTACCATTTCACCTCTGGATGCCTATTAGATCCAGGGAGAATAAGTCTCCTGCCTTTAACCCATTTTAGTTTTAAACACAAGATTGTCAGTTCACACAAGGATCATTATGGTAACATTAATCAAATTAATCACTAAACAACCATACAGTAGAATTTTAAATGAACACTTTTCGACCACTTTACTTTTGCTTGCTTCATCTTCTCCCTTTATTATTTTAACTTAATTTCCTCTCCCTTAATTTGTTACTATGAAAGCCGACTATATGCTTTTTGTTCTTTAGACATCCATAGTAGATTTTATTCTAAACTTATTTAAAATATTCTAGTAATATTTGCTCTGCCTTCAGGGCCGCAGAATCCATTTTGAAGGTGAGATTATATTAATGAATTGGCTGAAAGTCTGCTACAAAAGCTGTATTTTTGCCTATCAAGTAGCAGACCTCCAAAGACCAGAGACAGCAGCCAGCTCTCACTCATTAAATCAAGCATGGCCTCTCCAAAACGTTAATTTATCTGCACCCCCAGTTGAGATTTCATCCACAGTGCAGTTAATCCACAATGTTCAGTGGACGTTGCAAAACTGGTGTCCAATCTGACCTTTTTATTTAGGTTCAGAAATGTAGTCATTCAACAGTGGGAGTGCTTCATTCTGGAGTATATTGGCAGAGCTTTGATCTGGCATTTTTCCTGACAGTACATTAATAGCAAGAGATTTAAATGCCTGCTCCACATGATACTCTTTTTCCTCCCCCCTTTCCCAAGTTGTTGATCAGAAAACTGTGGGAATTGCGTGTGAATAACTAGAGAGGTCAGCTGTTGTTTAACAAAATGTTTTGGCACAGATATGCCTGGCTGTAATGTTGCATCTTATTTCAATCCAAGCGCTAACTATTCACAGATACCAAGGCACCAGTGGCATCTACCCTTGAAATCAGTGTCAAATTCTTGAAGTGGGTTAAACATCTAAATGTTGTTGTGGCTTACATACATTAAATCTGGTAAAAACAAATCTAGGGATTCATTTTATTAACCCACCTTTAAACACCCACATCCTCCCTGCAGGCAAACTATGGGAAATAACTCACTATGGAGTATAATCTACTTTAGGGCTCTGAATCAGAACACCAAAGCCAGACAATGAACTGCTCCTACTCGTTATTCTTCTAATGTTATCCAAGTTAAATAATTAATACAGAAAAATGTGGTTCTTATCTTAATATATACCTAAATAATATGGCAACAATGGAGTACTATAATTTACCATTACAAGGCATTTGGACCATAATTCAAATCTCTCTTGCAACATGAGTTTTCCTAAATATAGTGTGACTGGTTAAAATAATAATAACCCTTGCATTTGCTGTACCATCTTACAATGTCTTCGAGATGTCTCAAAGCGCTTCACAGAATATACTGTGAAGTGAATTGACTTTATATTTTGTGGGCAAAAACAATTTGCTACTTCCAAATTTTTAGCGTTTGAGAATCACAGGTCGTACCATAACACCGATCTTGGCTGAAGTTTCCAGTAACACTTGCTACACTTTGTTCTGAAAATGCTAAATTGCATGAGATTACATAGTGGTTGGCAGAAACGTACAATGACTGCAATGAATAAGCTAAACCAGGAAAGTGAAGCACTGGGGAGTAAAATCTGCCTCTTTGCACCAGGCACTAGGTGGCACTGCAATGTAAAGAATGCCAAATCTCATACCATCCAAACCAATTTGCAGCCTTACTGATCTAGGGTTCCTTGCCATTCCACTCTTTAGTTGTTGGGGATAAAACTTATGTAAAATCAATAATTAACCCAAAACAAATATATCCACAACTGGTTTAATCCCAATTGTCACAGTGCACAATTAAAGGTTCTTGAAACCAGTTGAAATATCCTGATCCAGACTGATTTAATGTAACTCAAACAAGGTCAGGTACATGAAGTTCAATAATCTATGTCATTTGGGGATAATAGACTTTAGGGCTTTCTTTATTGTTTTGCTTGTTTAATTAGTGACAAAACATTCTACCTCGCATCCATTCTTTGGTGAGTGGAAGGGTAATACCATGTTAGTAATTAAACCTGCCTTGCTAGCAGGCTCGTTTCAATGTAATTACTATGTAATTAAACTGAAAAACTCTCATGTGCAGAACTCTGGAAGAAAACAAAACCACAAATAAGTGATCTCTCTTAGTTTGGGGGAAACATTTAAACCATGAATTTTATGCCTTTGATTTTTCTTAATATAAAATTGTACAATTGCTGTTTAGCTGTGCACAAAGGGCACTCTGTGCATTCTGTGGCTTGTCAATAGCACTTTCAAATGTACAGAAGCTTACTACTGAAGCAAGCATGTGGTGGAAAAGAGGTTTATACAGCAGAAGCTACAATGGAAATTCAGTATTTGAAAGGTCAAGCAAAGCATCTCTTCAGGGCAACGGAAACATAAGTTAATGCAAGACCCATAATTTAAAACAATGTAATATTACACTAGGACACATCTGGAGTTTGAACTAACATCATCAGCAGAACATATATTGGCTCATAATTAATTTAACCTCTTCCATCCGCCCATTTTTCATTGCTTGTGAGTCGTATATTTGTGAATTAACATAAGAAGCTTTGATGTGTTTAGGAAAATTTACAAAAATGATAAAACCACAAAGTCACTAAAGGTGACAATATTGCCACACAGAAAAGCCGTCGCTTTAAGGTACACGCACAGATATAATCAAAGGTCACTGTATACCAAACAAAAANTTACCAAAACAAACCACATTTCATTCCACTTATCTACCAACTACGAATTCAGGTGACATGAATGTATTCCACACTGACTATGCTTGCAAAAAGTGGACAGTTTACATCTGAAATCTTGTACATGTTGTAGACAGGTCAGATATTTTTGGCGATAGACAAATTAGACAAACATGTGAAGTCCTTGAGAAACTGCAAGCTAGATGTACAGATAATCCAATTTAGGTTGTGATACACATAACCAGACACATAGAATGCAAGGCCAGCAAGTGACCCAGATTACTCTCTGCCTGTTAGATCAGAAGGTTGTTAATTAAGGTCGTTATTCTCAATCGGGATTGACTCATATTCAAACCTGCCAATGATCAGATGTATATCGCATTAACCTACAGAAATTCCACTCAGGTGAAATCTCATTCCAAGATTATTGTAGCAGACCTCTTCCTTCCACATTAGAAAAACATGCATCTAAACCCTTTACAAATTTAGGTTGTGAGTACAGGAGTTGCTCAAGAAAAATAGGGAAGTGATATTTGACTAGGTTAACAAAACAAATGAACAGGCTGTTTATAGGGTAGAATATTTTTCATGAAACCAGAAATCAAGCAACACAATGCCTTGATGAAATCGGATTTTGTAGATTTTCTGAAGATATATACAGGTGTCCAGATCTGAGTCTCACCAGCAACCCAAACCTACATGAAGTATTCATTCCTGAGCAGCAGCCTCTTTGCAGAATGATTTCAAACACTTTACCTCAAGAAATAATGAATTGTTTTAATTAGCAGACAATACATACAAGGGGACAACACAGGGGAATAGAACAGTGAGGAATGTTTGCAATTAAGTGCAATGGAAAGAAGCAATTGGCGGTTTTATTTCACTGCGGAGTTTGAGAACAAAACGTTTTAATAAGATTGCTGCTCCAAAAAACTACTCAAGGTTTATTTATTAAAAAATAATGGGATGTAAATTAATTCAGGTAAACAATAACTTGTGTGGGTAAAACTAATTTTGTTCCTGGGTTTTGACAATATTGACTGTAGGATCAGGCCAATAACATCACTAATACGGAGTGAGATTTCTTCAAACGGAGGTGGTGGGCTTTTCAACAACAGCAACAACTTGCACTTATATAGCGCCCTCCATGCAGGGTAGCGCTTAACAATGGCGAAGCCTGACTCCAACCTGGAGGGGTGGGGGAGTGGCCGAAAGCACAGTCGAAAGAGGAAGGGTTTCAGGTGGGACTTGAAAAAGGGGAGAGAGCGGGCAAGGCAGAGGGAGGGATTGAGGGAGTGTTTGGTAACGTAGTGGCTGAAAGCGCAACATCTGATCGTGGGGCGGAGGATGCAAGGGACGAGCAGGAGGCCAGTGCCAGTCGATTGGATGCGCTGGGAGGTGGAGTGGGGAGGTGAGGAGGTTGGAGAGGTAGGGAAGTGCCAGAGACGGAAGGGATTTGAACACGAGTGAAAGGATCTTGAAGTTGATCCGTTTGGTGAAGGGGAGCCAGTGGAGCCTGGGCCAGAACTGGTGAGATTTGGGTACGGAGTTTGTTCCGTGTCAGTATGTGGGCGGCAGAGTTATGAATGAGCCGCATCTTTTGAATAGAGTTGGGGAGACCAGCGAGGAATGCGTTTGAGTAATCCAGGCGGGAAGTGACAAACCCAATGCACAAGGGTTTCGGCTGCATTTGGGGTAAGATACGGTTTGGAGGCGGGCAATGTGGCAGAGTGGAAGAAGTCAGCCCTGGTCAGGGACTGGATGTGGGAGAGGAAGGACAACTGGAGGTTGAAAGGGACACCTAGATTGCGTACTGGTTTGGTGAGTATGAGGGAGAGCCCAGGGAGGTTGAGGAGCTCAGATCCGCAGGAGTGAAGACATTGACGGGAGCCAAGGAGTATAGCTTCCATCTTGACCACATTCAGCTGCAGGAAGTTTGCACTCATTCAGGCCCTAATATCTGCTGGACAAACTTATAGAACATCGGCGGACCTGGAGTTGGTACTGGAGGAGGCAAAGTAGATTTGTGTGTCGTCCATACAAGTGGAAGTTTTGGAGGGTGACATCACCCAGAGGGAGCATATAGATAAGGAAAAGAAGAGAGCTAACGATGGAACCCTGGATTACCCTGCAGGTGACCGGGTAGGGGCGGATGGAGAAACCATTTGTCGAGATGAAATGGAGGCGGTTGGTTCAGTAGAACTCGAACCATGCAAGTGGGTCCTACTAAGGCGGGTGAGGGAGGAGAGGCGGTAGAGGGGGATGGCGTAGTCGATTGTGTCAAACACAGCAGAGAGATCCAGGAGGACAAAGAGGCAGAGGCAGCCCTGGTCACAGATAGAGAGAACGTCGTTTGTGACTTTGACAAGCACTGTCTCTGTGCTGTGGGCAGAGGAAAAACCCAACTGCAGGGGCTTGAGGAGGGAGTGGAGGGAGAGGTGTGACTGAAGCAGACCTGCAACAATGTGTTTCAGGCTGTCATCTGAACTGAACCAGAGGAAGTAAANCATGGTTCGAGTCCCCACAGAGGAAATACACTGTCCAACGTCTGAAAGTCAAGCGCTCTAAAGCAACGAATGGCTTGATGCAGATCCTTCAATGGCCTGTACTTTATTTGACAAGACAAGCTGATTTGGTCTCAGAAGCACCAGCCACACAATGAGACCATTTCTCATTTTTAAGTGCTTCTGTGGGCATTCTGACTCCAGACAACTGTTTGGCTATCAAGTGCTCAGTATCAGTGTTAACACACTGTAGCGCGTTGTCAGAAAAAAACTTCAATACATTTGTCACACCCAGTGGCCCCTTCAACAAAAAGACATTAAAGTCCAGTGTTCAACGCTCCAACACTGAACTATGAGGGACAGTCATCATTAGTTCAATTTCTATGAAATTACCTAGAAATACTACTTCTAGCCTCAAAGGTCAAAAGCAATAATTGTTGCTTGATTCAGATTACAGTTAAAATGCTTAGATTTCTGGTTTCCAATAGATTCCGGAAGTAAGAGAAACTTCAAGATTCACTGACAGACTGATTAATATAAAAACAATGACTCATTGACAAATTAGTGTACAATTAAAATCAATTACACTGCTTTTACTGAGTCACACTGATACCTTTGTGCAAGCATAACCCTTGTTTCCAGATCCCTTTTACTTGAGAAAATAATTCAAACTTATCCCATATTATCCCTAGAGATTCACATTTATACCTTAAAACATGTGTCACAGATACTTTAAGACATACTTCAATTTGCAATGGTAGCATCTTGAATTTACATAAAGGAAATATTATCAATGTATCAAGGTGTGAATGAAGTGACATGACACAGATTAATTCAATAAGAAAAGCAAAATTAGGAAGATACACGTGTTAATTTTCACAGGAAGTGAGATATAAGATTTATTTTTGCATAAGCAAAAAAAATTTCATTCAAATGCATGAAAACAAACGCTTCGCCAAAAAATGTTCTCTTTGTGCTTCAAGGTATTAGAAATCTCTGCTGATTATGTTACTCAATTATCTTTCGACAATAATATAAGGCCCGAGAGGGAAAGATAATCTAGAATTATTCTAAACTATAATCTCATGCAAAAGGGACCCAGTGTGGCAATATGGCTAGTTGCATTGTCTAAATACATAATCATTTTATGTTTCTGACCACATTTACCACTTGGATAAACTCGTTAAACTCTTTCATGTACACCTTTAAGAGAGAAAGTAGCAAGTGTTTCCTATGACCTTTAGGAAAGATAGCACTAAACAGCCTTGCTTACCTCCTCCAGCTGACTGTGGACGTGTTGCACTATCAGATCAATGGCGACCATATTTCCTCCCCCTTCCAACAAGGGTAAAACAGAGAAAGATTCAACGTAATGACATCAAGAGGCAAAATAAATTGTATTCACATGAACTACTTGCTATCTTTAATTTGCCTCACCCTATAGAGTTCTACAATCCATAGCTTTCCAACTTGCCCTGTTTAAATTCTTGCTAATGCTTATATCACATTAGTTATATTATTTTGTCTAGACCAGGTTCCACAACAGAATGGTTTCAAGATGTTCACTGAACCCCTCAACTGAATAATAAAAATATTGTGAGGCAAGCCGCAAATCTCCTGTAAAACTGGGACTCACATTATGTAATAATCCCTTCAAAACACAAATAATAATTTGGTCACTCAATCCACGACGGTTTGTGGGACACTGCTGTGCGCAATTGGCTGCCACCAATATACAGTCAATCCACTTTACAGGAAATTCTGCGAAGTGTTTTGAGATGTCTCAATGACATTATAAGGCCCTATATCAAATGCAAGGATTATTATTATTATATCAGCATTGTTCATTGTCGCAAGATGCATAGGTCCCAAAAAATAAATCAGAATAAGGAGCTGTGCTCCAAAACAATCTCATTTACTCAAACCCCACTGCTGGAGGCTAAAGAAACATCATTTACATGAATAACTTTATGTATTTGGACCCAGTTTCCCAGGTGTTAAATCTACCAGGTTCAATCAACTGAATAATCAATGTGAACTAACATGAATTCCATTTGAATGCAGCAGATTCTTCTCGAGTAGCTACAATAGAAATAGAAGTGTTCAATAATGTGTCTTTAGAGATGGAATTAATTTAATTTATAGTTGTTTTACTCTATTGAATTACCCAGTAGTTTCTTAGTAACGTGCTTTCTTGACTTGTGATGAATTCTGATGGAGCAGTGTTGGTGGTTTCCTCAATCATTAATACACAAAATACGTAAGGTGTCCTCCCCACACCCATCTCTGACTACAACTCATTGGATACAAAACATTACTGAATGCTCCCTTGCTCCAGCGCCTTGGGACGTCTTCCCAACGTGAAAGGCGCTATACAAATGTAATTTGGTTATTTATTGTTGCTATTTTACGATCTAAAATTCAGACTTCATCGGTTACTTTCTGCTTAAATATTAAATATGGTGCCTCATCTCATAACATCTGGGATTAGAGACATCATAATCTGTTGTTTCCCACTGACCTGGCTGATGTAGGTTTAAGGGGGAACCTACAAGCAGTAGGAGAACTAATAATATTCCATAGACTTTATTTCTCTTAGCTGATTATATTGCTCAGACTCTAATTTCCTTAAGAGAAGGTTTAAAGAGAAAATAACACCTTTCATAGAGTAAGGCTTAAACCTGTACAGTATTAGAAATGAAAGATGCACATTGTCATTTTTGGAGCTTCCAGAAAATATACTTTATCTTTTTTTTATTGAAAGGACAGCTTGTCAAACTGAAGAGCTCTTGTTGGAAACAAATGTGATTGTTTTAACTATTCTGGAACTGAGTATGATTGCTTGATAATGCGATAACTTACTCACTAGTATGGCAGTACTTTATAGCTAATTCAAAAAAGTTTCAGTTTTACCTCGTGGAACAACTATATCGGCCAAGCGCATTGTTGGTTCAATAAACTGTTCAAAAGAGGGCTTGACAAATTGGTTGTACTGCTTGATGACTCCTTCAATGTCACGGCCCCGCTCAGAGATATCTCTACGTAGGCGGCGTACAAGACGGATATCTGAATCAGTATCTACAAAAATCTTCATGTCCAACAGCTGCAAGACAGTAAGACGGCATTTAAGAGAAAGCTGCCTTTCTTCATTGTGTAAGTACTATACATGCTTATAGCGACTAAAACGCCCCCCTTTGAGCAGGTAAAGTACGTGTGACCTTTAAAACATTTTATAATAAAGCTGAGAATTTCTCATCATTGAAAATGGAAATTAAGGCAGATTCATTTCTGGGGGCTGAATTTATAAAAAATATGGTGCTAGTCTTTTCTGGTGATTTTCTTCTCATTACAAACGATTTGACAGGTAGCCAGTGTTTAACAACTGGTAATATCCCACCTTTAACCGCAGGCTTCATTTAGATGCCGACGAGACTAAGGGAACATTTTAACCTCATATCTCTGCTTTGGGCATCAAAAAAATAGAACAGGGTGAAATGTCAGAAGTAATCAACTGTCAACAGTTCATACACTGTAAGCTAACCTTTTGGAATATTTGGACAGAAAACATTTAGATAGTTGTAGTGATCATGAATTTTGTTTGCAAGAAACTGTAATTTGAAGTTGAAATTCTGATATTTGGCTTTCGTCAACCCGCACCTAAAACTCTCCGGAAGTAGGACGTCCTTCCAGGGAGAAAGCACGCTTCCCAAATACAGGGACATTTCCATGTGTAGGTGGCATAAATATGTGGAGCACTCATTCTTTAAGCATGATGATGGATTTCTGCATGTGTCAGACACTCAGCTGGCTCCAAAAAAATTGTACCGTGCGCAGCCAGTTAATATGGCATTGTTTGGTGGGGGGGTGGGGGGGGTGGTGGCTTCAGGGAGAGTCGCAATACTACTAGAAAAATGCAAAGACTGAGAATCCATTGCTGGTCAAACATCTTGGGATCCATGTAACAAAACATTTCAGAAGTAGATTATGGAGAGTAGCATGAACAGGATACAAACAGAAATGTTCGTGCAATGATACTTACATTCAACAATTCCTTATCAGCAAAAGCCATGATGCCTTCCAATATGATTACACTGGCTCCGTATAATATTTTCTTGGGGGGGAAAAATGCAGGTTGGTAATCAACAGAAATAGAAATTAATATTCTTATTTTGTACAGTCAGTGTTTGAGCCTTATGGTAGGGACAACTTGTGCTCAAATTCGCACCTTCACAACACTCTTGGCCTGAAATTTCTCTTAGTCAGTCTTAGCTTGTTTTAACATTTAAGAAAGCACAGGATTATGGAAATTCCTCTGACTCGGTCTTAATTTGGAAGTTTTTTTTTTAAGAACCGGCTTCCAAATTGTGATTGAACTTAAGAATCTTCCACAATTTTATCTGAATGTTAATTTTAAGATAAAAGATTAGGTGCCATTTTGGGTCTTATGTTCCTTTACTTTATTGCTCATTGACCTGATGGTTGTTTTTGGTTGCTTGCTGGGACCAAATTTACAACCTTAAGTTTTATTCGGGCAGGGGAATCTTGCGAGCACTCACAAAATGTATAGTTAAAGGGCCTAGCACTGCACACTTCCAGGCATTAAAACTGTACCTCAATCTATGTGATGTCACCAACTTACTCCCTTCGTAATAAAATAGCATTATAAATATTGATTCATCACATTAATATGAAATGATATTTTGCTACCAATAAATTGTTCAATGTGGGAACGTATTCCTTCCAATATTTGATCTGGCATTGAGCTTACCCAGTCCTTCTTCCTGCTGTGCGTTGTGAAATCATACACAGGAATCTTTACACTCTTTCCCTGTTTTAATTTCCTGAGAGTAGATACAATTAGGTCAAAGTCAAATGCATCGGGATGGTCAAAATTAAAGTCATTGCTGGCAGCTAGATCTTGTTGCTCTTTTTTAAGGACCTGTGTATAAAAAGAGAGAAAATGAAAGTAATAGGTTTAACAACAACAAAATTAGTAATTAATGTTCAATTTATTTTATTGAGGGAATGGGAGCTTTTAATCAATAAGGCATGTTTTTCTATTACATCCAACTCTTATCATAACTTAACTGTTGACCACTTAAAGCAAGTTATAAGTGGAAGCAATGTTGTTAGAAAAACAGGCAGCTTTTACTAATCAGAAGGTGAACTACATCGTCAATGAAGCAGATTTTAAAAATCCATTAAAAAACTGTAATCAAATAACGTTAATCTGTTTACATTGAAACATGATTATGATTTCTTACATTAAAAAAAACTAGACATGGCAGAGATGAGCACCCACAAATGGATTTTACTAAAACCACTTAATATGCCATCATCTGCTCTATGGAAATTCAGGAAAAGTATAACATGCACTGAAGGGCACTGGAGGAAAAACAAAGTAGTTCAGCTGGGTAGATGAAGGCATGTGAAAACTAAACAAGGAAATAGAAGACTGTTTAGTTCCTAAATCAGCACCAAAATGCTTATGTTGAATTGCTGTATTGCAAAAGCCAATGATTGGCGGATCGCTTTTCCGGGGTAATAATTCCTTTAAAAAAAAAAGTTGGTCATTTAATCCACGACTGTTTGTGGGACACTGCTGTGTGCAATTGGCTGCCGCGTTTTACCCACGGTATATAGTCGATTCACTTTACAGTATATTCTGTGAAGCGTTTTGAGACACCTCGAAGATGTGATAAAACGCTGTATCAAATGCAAGGATTATTATTTATTGATATTTGATGTTTTCCCTCTGAATCCAGTTCTAAAGTTCCTGAAATGAGCTATCTTTCTTTCTGTTTGTGTGTGAGAACTGGTCGCAATCCCCATCAAAGGCAACTTTACACAATCTCGCTTTTTCCAGTCTCTCCACAACCATCAAGACATTTTAGTAAACTGTAAGTAGAGCAAAAAAGTCTGCAAAAAATATACTTCAAATCACAAAAATAAAGGGGATGTAAGGGAAAGCGTACTGTAAACGTCTGTAAACGAACCAAGATGGTCTATGTGTTGCATTATACTGTAGCCTAAAAAGATCTCTCAAAAGATTATATTCATGTGGGTTATAGATATATTTTTTGCATTTGCATTAACATCAACCAGTCTTGGCTTAAATGCTATTTGTGAAATGTACCTTGTAGAAGGAGTCCATAGATAGAAGCACAACCCATGGAACGTCTAATTCTTCTATTATCTTCCTGGCCACTGTTGTTTTGCCTGAAGCAGTGCCACCGCACAGTCCTAAATAAACACACAAAAAGCAGGGCTTTTATTTTTATGAATACTAGAAATTCTATGCCTCTTTCTATCCTGTTAGATCTCCTTTTCTTTCTATAACTAAACAGGAGAGGTGAGTGGGGATTATCTACTGCCTTCAAAAGTGCACTTCACCGATATTTTTTCAAAATGAATGTACTGTTAAATGGACCAGCTCCAGTCACTAAAATGGAAGCTACCCATTTGTATATTTTTTTATTGAAAAAAGGCACTGGACACAATGATTACTTAATATATTCATGTAATGTATAGCCATCAAGACGTAAAGATAATTAGCATTTTGGCTGTGATCCTTCTTCACCACTGAACCAGTGGCTAGAGGGAACCCCTTAGTAGGATAAAGGACAAGTAGGACTAGAACATAGCAATTACACTAGAAAGTTGAGGGGATTATTAAGGTACTTTCCAACCATTCTGGTACTCTCCAATGAAAGGTCCTGCCCGTAACTTTAAACATTGCTCTCTTTCAAGATTACAAACACCAGAATAGGTATCTGCAGCTTTTTGTTTTATGTAACGCTAGAGATCAATCCTCCAACCAGATGGGTTATTGCCTCAAACCTTCACAGTTGTGAGTTGAGAAGAAATTGGAATATCACTGAATACAATAAGTGTTCCGAGATGCTATCCTGTGTGAAGGGCTCTATATAAATACAAGTTGACAAATTGTTGTAAGATGCTTTGCTTGAGTAACTGGTTAGACCAGATAAATTAGAAATGTACAGATTAGATCCTGTATAGTTTTTTTAAGGGGGTGGGGCTGCTGGGTCAGATTTTTGCTAGTTAGATAACAAGGCTAACAACAGTACACAGAAATAAGGGATAAATGACATAACCAATTACAGTAAACTTTTCAACACCAACTGACCGAAAGTACAATTCTTCAAGGTCTCACCGATAACAAATGCTTGCTTAGACTGGGTTCCATGTTCGTTGTACCATGGAGGGCGTCCTGCAGTATAAATCGTTCGTTTACTTGTCCTCAACAGTGGTGGCTCAGATTTGCATTGGCTTGTAGTTCGTTTTCGTGGTGACAGAACATTAGTTACTGGAGTTAATAGCCTATCTAAGGAATCTTCATTGCCGCCACTGCAGAGAGAAAATGCAGGCAGTCAAACAGATAGTTAGTAATCAGAAGGCTTCAGATGGAAAGTGGAGCGCTGTACAGAGCAACCTGTCGGCACACAAAACAAATCACTTGACAAATGGAGTAAATTATTTAACGTAGAGAAAGATTTTTTTGGTGAGTCTAATAGCCCTTTCAAGTGAAATAAAGAAGGAACAATTACACTCCAGTATGGAGTAATTTATGCTCTTACTGATGGATACAATTCCTTACAATTACAAAATACTAAATATCACAAACAGCTTTCTTAGGGAAAGGAACTTTAAAAAGATTTGTGCAATCAGTAAATTAATCATCAATTGCTATGTGCAATGCTCATCAAGACTAGCTTCATCGTAGCGCATATTTGTAGGGAACACAACATTAATATACTGTGAGGATGGTTTTCAGCGGTTGTACTGATAAACAGGGTTGGTTCAAGAGGTGAAACAGCACAGCAAATGAAGCCGGGATCTGTAGGAAACTGAGGGCTCGCTACAGCTGTGTTTGTCAGTATAAGCTTTCCTGGAGTAATCAGGGTTGTCGACTGATCCCATGTGCTGTGAGTAGGTCAGTAGTGTTAAAACACATTACGTGTCATCAGCTGCAATCACTCCTCAGTTCTTTTGAAAGAATTTTTCCTTTCCTTTCAGAATCAGAACAATAACTTTCAGTTAGGCTTTATTACAAACTCTAGTTTAGTCCCGAGGATGCAAAATTTCTGAATAGGTCACTTAGCTGATATTTATAGAGGGGCATATGACTAGGTAGTATTACAAGGATACAGACACATGATCTGGAGTACATTATTTACATGTAAAGGTCTGCGTCATCAACAAAACATATTTAAGCATGAGAAGGAATTATCTGTATTCCAATATATATATTTTGAAGGTAATTTGTCTGAATGACCATGAATAAACCAGATTTTTTTTGCCAAGCAGTATCCAGCAAGTTGTGAGTGAGATTAGTGCACAGTACTGGAGTATTTTTTTATTCCAGTTTGCACCACTGAATTTATCAGCTGAAGTTTTAACTTAAGGAGTATCACTTGCAATTCAAAAAATAGTGTTAAATAGTTACGTCCACGTCTGACAGAAGTACACAGCGTACCAGAAGCATCTTAAAAGTCCCCAAACTTTGCAATTCCACTGCTACTTCTTGAGCTGGTTGTTAAGAAATGCACACAATTAATTCTCAGAGGAAGGATCTCCCTGAAATGCCTAAACTTGGCACTTATAGCCTGGATAATTGCTGGGTCAACTCCCAGTCCCACGTCACAGCAAGTCAGAGCAGTCAGAACCTGACTGACGCCCAACTTTGACATGTTCTAGCAAGTACAATATCACAAAATTAAAACTAAGTGAGCCCATAATGTAATTCAGTTTTATGTTTTACTTCATACCACCCTAATTGTAGAAAAAGCTACATGGAGCAGTGTTTTGACAGCTGATCTCACCCTGGGAAGCATGGTTGTTGGTGAAATGTACCATCACTTGAATGTCTATTGAAAGAGGAGCCAATGAAGCTTTGATATCACAAGCACGAAAAGACTAGCTTCCTGAACATGGTTATGCATTCATGACCATATTGTGCAGCTGCCAGTCACTACATTTGACACCTTTGGGAGCATGCTTTGTTAGTCCTCTCCCCTTCTATGTTGACCAAGCTTTGCTGTATTGCCATACTACAGAGGCACATTCTATCAGTCATGGGAGACATATTGACAACAGCTCTGGTCTGGAGGAGCCTGTGGGTCAGACAATACAGCTTATTTCCACCTGAACGTTTAAGATCCCGTGAAGTTGTTAGTAGACTGGTTGGTTTCCTGTGGTGCAGGTGTGGGGGAAGAAGAGTACATAAAACAGCTACAAATGCTAATTAAATATTAAGATTCAGTAATTAGAAAACTATCTTGATTAAATTATGTTTCTCAATAAATACGTAGCTCGTCAGTCAGACATTTCTTTTTTTTTAAAAAATCTACAAAAAGGAATTATTTTGATATGGTGAAACTTAAATATTCCTCCAAAACCGGATGTTTATCATTGTCTACAAATACAGTTACCGGACTTCACAGTAAATCTTATGAAGTGCTTTGAGAAGTCCTCCTTATGTGAAAGGCGTTGGATCAAATGTGTGGATTATTATTATCATGATCATCGATATGCTACTGGTAATAAAATATTACTTTTGTATAATGCAAAGGTAAAACTATTACCCAATCACCTACTTTACTAAAAGCACGCGGGTTAATATATCAATCTAGCAATAATCTCTACAATACTAAGCAAGGTCCTGGAGGCAAAACCATTGATCAATTGCTTTTCCCATTCAGTTTGTCATTTGAGTTGCTGCCTTGTGAAACTGTGTATAGTCACTGGATGTTGTTATCTGACTTTGTTGTTATCCTCGTGACAGCAAGTGGAAGTTTTACTGCTTTCACCCTGAACCCAATTAACCCTCATTTATCACTGTTCTGTACTTATTAGTAATTTTTCTGCTACTGTAAAGCAGAATATAGCGCTGCTGAACCACTTGCAGTGCTTGGGTGTTATTCCACCCCCTTTAAGTACTGTCCTCATTTAGCACCACAAAAGAGTTTGAGCGGATTCTGTGCCAGTGTGTTGTACTGCCACCCACACAGTGCTTTCGGTCTCGACTGACAAATCAGAGGAACACACAAGTTTCACTCAATGTACTCATCTCTCGCTAAAACACTGTCTGACAAACACTGAAAACAAAAACAAGTCGCTGGGAACACTGAGTTTGCTTTGCACTGTATTGATGAGATAAATCTAGGTGACACCATATTGGGTTTTAAAACCCTATCGATAGCCACTTTGTCAGGGTACCAGAGGGCAACCAGTGCCCATGGAAACATCCCTTAGCAAGAGGAGACCAGACCAGGAGCAGACACGCAACTAACTACCAATGAAGAGAAAATCAGCCCAATAATGGAACACGCTATTTATATTTTAAAAAATTGGGGGGGGGGGGGGGATTAGGAGAGGAATAGCCAAAGATGCAAGGCTATGAAGATCATTCCAGAGGGTGGGGACAAAATGGCAGAAAGACAAAATGCTGATGGTGGGGCATAGCTGGAGGCGTGAAGCCAACGAGAGTTGGTGACGTGGAGGGAGTGGGCGGTGGACCGCAGGAGATCACAGAGGTAGAGCCATCAGTAGCTTTTCTCCCCCCCACAAAACAACTGCTGGAAGGTGCGTTGACTGCAAGAAACAGGAGTAAAGTGGAAAGGAATGGAAGTGGCTGTCCTTGAAAAATACATTACACAATACCGGGTTATGCAACTGACATGACAATAGCATTCAGAAGAGAACTTATAGACAGTGTGGGACTTCTACACAAGATGTAATATTGTACCATTTTGCTACAGTCCAGGAGTGCCCGCTAATGCTGAGCAAAGGATTATTTTAACACCTAGAAATATTTTTTTCCCCCCAACTGTACATTGCAATAGTGTCTCCAACTAATCCCTTAAGTCATCAAACCTGAAGGGTCCAATACAAATCCACATTAGCTTAATTGCAGAACATTCATTACCTTCTTCACTATTCTTGATAAAATGTTAGCAACAGAAGTGTTGATTGTGCAACGAATAGACACATCAAAAATAGCTTCAAGTCAAAAAAATACTACCAATTCACAATCCTAAGAGAAATTAAAATGACTTACCTCCTACCAGACACCAGGGACCAACATCCAGATATCCTGGCACCAGAATAAACAGGGAGAGAACTCATGCTTAATTGCAAAGGGGACTGTTTATAGGAGCTATATTGCGGTGCACTATGCTGTGCTACCTTATTCTGGTCTTTTGTTTTATTCCTCCAGACCTGCACTGAAACAGCTGGTGACCAGGATTTTCATGGGGCTTTGCTTCAAATGTTGTGAAACAGGGAACTGAAACTAAAAGGGAAAATGAAAGTAAACTGCTTTCTGTTCAATTAAAAGGAACGAAAAGCGATGGCTTGCAGTCTCACAGCAGCCAAACAGATAAGAGGATAATGTTTCCCAGAGATTAAGTTCATTACCTGATATTAATAGCAATCTCTTCGTACAAGACCCTTGACACCCTGCCCGGTTTGGAGTAAGCAGTCATCTGCGTATGACATTTGGCTGCACTGGGGAATTTAAGGGAGTTATGCACCACCAGAGTACACTGAAAACAATTTGGTCAAAGTTACAATTTTATAAATATAATTTCAACAAATGTTGCTGCTTAATGCAAGAATCGCCTTACAGCAAAGGGTTTTAATTATGGGCTCCAAAACAAATCAACTGGAAAGCTCCTAGTTTGTTTTATAGCATTATGTCAGGCAATTCCTTTAGGAGCCCCAGTATGCATATAAGCCAATGCAATCCCACACCTCCCAGCAGCACGATATGCAATCGTTCAGCAGACATCTGCCTCAGGAGGGCTCCATATTTAGCAAGTGCACTCTGTTTGAAGACTTGGGGCTTTTGAATGAGAAAAGTAACTATCCACTGCAGCTGTATTTCATTAGAATATATTATTGCAATAAAATATTTACCATAAATATATAGTGCCTTAATTGTTCCAAATTGCTAGCTCACTGACATCTGACTAAGTCAAAGACGAGAGATATCATCAATTTTCAGTTAAGTAAACTTCACTTTTGCTCAAATTGGGCCTGTGACACTACGATATTATTGCAAACTCATAATCGTTTTAACTGTAGCCGGGGAATGCTTGGAGCTATAAAAGCATAAACTGTTTGGTGAAATAAATGTAAATCATAACAATCAAAGTGTATATTTCTGTATATTTCTGTACATAACTGTAAATTTCATAGTCGAATGTGACACAGAATTTGTCCCACAAATTGCTACGATGTGAATGACCAATTTTAACTGGGTGATTGATTGATAGTCCGGACACCACAAGCAATTTCCTTCTCTTTTCGGATAATGAAATGGAATCCTTTATGACCACCTGATCAGGACCTCAGTTTAACACCTCGTCTGAGGGTCAGCACCTCCAACAATGCTGCACATCCCCAGTATGGCATCGATGTGTAAGTTCAAAGTCACAGTTGCGAGGTTTGAACCTACAAGCTTCTGAATCAGAAGCAGTTGAGCCAGGCTGACATTAACGGGTTAATGGATTGTGCATTTCTAAATTATACATATTGGAAATATCACAGGTTGCCTTTCTGGTCTTGGGTAAGTTAGCTGACCTTAGCCATGGTGGCAACAATTGGTTCCTTGTCCTGTATGACTGGATTCAGTTTCTTTATTTGGGAGGTGAACAAAATACATATAGGCAGTGACTCTCTTCAGTTTCCTTCCAGTGAATTCTGGTGGAAAACGAAACTGAATTCTGGCTTTTCACTCATATTGTTGTAGACCTGCATTAAGGCAGTGATTGCTCAGGATTTGCATAGAAGTTTTCCCCTCAGATGCTCTGTGCAAAAGAATCAAAATAGAAAAATGAAACTTAAAAAAAGCTTTCTATCATCGTAAGGGAGGAGGGGCAGGACTAGCCTCTGTTGTGATACTCCGACATGCCAAAACTCTCTTTCTAGGCTCACACATGAAGCAATGCCACTTGGGGAGGTACTTGGAGGATTGCTGTCAACCTGTGGAACCACATCCCAACGGACATCAGGAGAGGAGGGAGATGAGAAAGGCAAGCATTTAAAAAACATTCCAGGAAACTACACAATACCTGAATAGTAATAAATATTATTTTTGTTTGCAGCCTTCTTAAAAGTGGAAACTACATAAGAGATAACAATTCAACATTCATTTAATAATCTTGTTTGCCCTCCCTTTTCCATTGCCTTCAACAACTTGAATTTAGGTAGCTCTATTTCATAGAAGAACACGTCAAGCAAAACATTTAACAAAGTGAGCATTAGACATTGAGGAAGAAATGAGAGAAATTAAGAGGTGATCAAAGGGAGGGGTAGCAGCAAGTCAGTAATGAGTAGAATGTAGAACCTGTTCGGTACAGTGCTCGGGCTGAGGAATTTTGGATATGTTAAGATTCGTGGGGTAATCATAGAATTGCCATTCTGGAAGAATGAGATCAAATGAATCAGTTTTGGGATGGGAGTTTCTACAGGGAGTGGGAGCTGATATAGTTCTTTGAAATAAATCAGCTTACGTTATTTGTAGTTACTTGTAACTACCTAACAAACTACCACTGCTCCCCACAAGGCCTCTCCCCATCACAACAACAATCTTACAGCTAGATTGCATCTTTCACGTCGAGAGGACACCTCATTGAGCATCTTCCTAAATAGCATATATATTGTATTAAGAACTAAAATCACACCTCCCCTGCCATCCTCTTTTGAATGATATGGTCTCCCTTAACCTCATTTGGCACTACAGTTGAAACCTTTACATGCATCATATGGCTGGTAAATCTCCATGGTCAGAGCTGCATGCCACATTAAGGATTAAGCTGAGGATTGAAAGAAAGGTTTTCAGGGTAATCACAGAGCACGGTATTACTATAAGTCAACAAAGAATACTTTTTTTTTTAGCTTGTGTCTATTCAGGTTCAGCAGATTAAATCTTCCTGTACAAAGAATTTCAGTTCTCTTTAAACCTTATAGTTTAATTTCCTCCCCAGTTCCTGCCACACACAATGTCCTACTCGAGGCTTCCCATTCTTTTATAATAATAATAATAATAATAATAATCCTTGCATTTGATATAGCGCTTTTCACATCGGGAGGACGTCCCAAAGCGCTTCACAGAACACACTGTAAAGTGAATTGACTGTATATTTTTTTGTGGGCGAATGCGGCAGCCAATTGCGCACAACAATGTCCCACAAACAGTCGTAGATTGAAAATGACCAATTTAATTATTGTTTTTTTTTTTGGAGGGATTATTATTAGGCGTGTGGAGTAAGGAAACTTGCCCAAGGTTTCGCCCTCTGCCTGGAATTGAACTCAGGTCTCTCACTTGCAAAGCGAGTGCTCTAACCACTGAGCTACAGGACTCCACAATTTTAGTTAATTACAAAAGAGCCAAATGACCTTAACCAAGTTCCCAGTAAACTCAAGTTACATAAAAAGTGAAAATCATACTCTTTTTACACAGAAGAGTGGTGCACATTTAGAATTCACTGCTAGAAGCTGTGTTTGAAGCATTAATGCATGAAAGAGGAAACAATGGATACATGGGAGAGGAGGGGAAAATGTGCATAAGGGGAGGCTCGGGGTTGGGCGATTGGAAGGAATGGAGTTGGGCTCAAAGACCTGTTTCTAGATCTGTTATATATCCGTAACGTATCCATTAACAGCTATTCCTTGGGAAGATCTCTTTTGCTATATTTTACTATCAGGTTAGGGGGGAAAGCAAAGTACATAACAAAAAAGTACAAAGCAAAACTGGAATGCAAAATTCACCCTTTTAGAGTTAGCATTAATGACCTTGCCAGAGTGACATACTGTAGTGTGTTGGTGATCCAACGTACCATGCCAATGGTATTGAATTGCATTGTAAAAGCAAAGAGATCACATTTTCACTTGTATTCTCGAATGAGATAGTACAATGGCCAGTTACTGTCATTAAGTGCTTATTCATTTTCAAATCTTGTATGCCTTCATTAATTAGTCATTTTCTCACCACCAAACAGGAAGTCTTTATTTAGGTTGGGCTTTTATAACCTTTTTTTTCTCATTTCTAAGCATTATCTTACTCATAAGCAACACCAGTTACACCACAAGTTAGTATTTACTGTGCTACCACTGAATGTAAGAGGTTTGGATTACTCAGATGCCAATGCAATGAGCAACCTCTCAGATCATTACAGGCGGGCAATCGTTATACAGTAGTGCAACACCCACTAAGGTACAGTATTCACTAGACAATAGTTTCACTGTGGAAAAAAAAAGGTCAAGCTATTCTCCTGAGTAAACTACTGCAGTACTGCTGTGAAAATGAAGGGAGAGCTTCCGGTTTGCAAGCGGAAGGGAGAATTCAAATGAGCCAGGTATCACCCATGCAGTCTTTTTCAAGACAAAAAGACAAGAGGTCTCCTCTGCAAAATCCCCTCTAAACACTAATACATCTCCTTTCAAGATTGAAGTGCCCTAGCTTGTCTAATCTTTGCTCATAGCTAATTTCTCCAACACTGGGGATCAGCCTTGTTGGCTCTTCTGTGCGCTGCATCTAGGGCCTGGCAGTTTCCTTACGTCCTGGCAACCAGAACTGAATGAAGTGCTCAAGGTGAGTTCTGACCAGAGCACCACATAGCTTAAGTATGATCTCCAGGAATCTGAATTCAACTGATTTGGCAATAAAGACCAATGCCTCACACTGTTCCAACACACGTTCAGCACACGTTTATCTTCCCTGGAAGATAAACGCTCTCGTTCAAAATGTATGAAACGAAATTTGGATCTTCGATTTGGAATTTGAAATGCAAAGTTGCTGCAGCTATTTTCAGCCGACAGTTTCCAGTCAGAATCACTCTCCCGGAGCGGAGATGATCTTCCTTTCTGGCACCCTCTGGTGGTTTAACTCCACAAAGCAAAATCTAGCTTGCTCCTGCCAGGTTCAATCAAATAATAATAACCCTTGCATTTCACGTCAGGAGGGCGTATCAAAATGATTCACGGGATATACCGCAAAAGGCGGAGACTGTGTATTTTGTCGGCCTTTACAAAAGCTTGCTCTTGCGTCATTTGAAGAAAAAAAATTATTCGCGGGAACATTTCAAAACGTTAATGAACCACACTCGCAGGAAAAGCGGCTGATTATATCCCTCAAAGCACTTTGAGATATCTCAAAGACATAAGGCGTTATATCACATGCAAGGATTATTATTATGTCAATGGCAGTAGCTGTTACAGTTTGTTGTAGAAATTGTTGCTGGGATGTTCTACAATAGGATACTTTATAATGAGTGTTTAGCAGTCATATAGTAACTTAAAAATAACAAAGCACAACATGATTACAACACGATTTGTTCAGCGTGTACAACACAGAGGAAATAAATGTAAATA